AGGTTCTGATGACTGAAAGTTTGTGTTCCAGTGGGTGGTGCGAGTCAAAAAGCATTGCCTCCAAAAAAAAAAAGTATTTTAAACTTAAAAAATGTGTGTGCAACTGCACACAATCAGTTTGTGCCATTGATTTAACTTCATAATTTTGGGTAGACGTAACAGTGATGGTAAGTTCTTTTTGGGGAACCAGCCTTCATCAGAGATCGTCTGCTTGCATGGAGCATTCTGTTTGTATTCCAAGCTATTTTGCATAATTCCCTTATTATATTTCCACATTAGTCATGCAATTCCTCATTTGCAATTTGAGCAGACATATTACCCAGCACACTGAGATGTTAGAGTCATCACACAACCAGCAAATCACTGTGTTTCACCTCTTAGGGAGTCAAATACCTTATTCACTACAGTGCATACATTATCAACTTTGCTTGCGGTGTCACCCAGCCACACGCATTCCCTGAAAATATCACTCAATATCCAAATTGTACTTAAGTAAGAGTAGAAATACTTTATGATATTTCTACTTTAGTAAGGGTAAACAAGTATTTGGTAAAAGGCCTGTTTAAGTACTGAGTTACTGACAGACCAAAATGTAAAGTTATGTGCAAATTCTGGTATTTTAAAGACCAGGTGTAAAGTAAGCTTGTTTAGCATTAAGCTTGTTTAGTTAAAACACTGTCTGTTAAAACACTTGTTTATTAAAGCAATATTTCATAAAGATATTGCTGAAGCTAAAGTTAAAAAGAAAGTCTGTCTGAAAGTATATTTTAGTCATAGTTATTCAAGTAAATGTAGCAGTAATTACTACCTTCCTTTGACTGTGCTTAAATGCACATGTCTCCTCTTCTTTCAAACACTTATAATAATATTTAAGTTATTAAGCCTGTTTTTAATCTAATTGTACACAGCACTTATTTAAAATGAGTATAAACAAGTTGATAAGAACTGAAGTTTTTAATTTAACTGAATGCTGGATTCTACAGTGCAGCTTTAAACCCTTGTTAAAAGACATCACAAAGGGCTGTGTATTTGAACTCCATCAACAAGTGAGACTTCCTTTTTTTTTAATTTGCTGCTTTGGTTAACCTAAAATAACCATCACACTTCATTATTAATGTTCCAAAAATAATCTAAAACCACTATTGTAGTTTCTGTTCTCGTTCTTACTGCGTACTTGATGTTTTCATTCAATAGATACTTTTTATTTGAGGTTGGGCCCCCATTATTAATGTGAGACTTTGTCTTGCTAAAATCATAACCATCAAATATCTTCAGGGCAGCAAAATAAAAGTTTATTGTATACTGTTGCATACCTAATCCTGTCAAAGTCTAATTGAGCAGCTCCTAATGGCCGAGCTTCTTTTCTTGTCTCTAAGGGCACGCCCAGCCACCCTTAAAGGAAGCTCCTTTCAGCTAAATGATTTAAGGATGTCATTGTTTGGGTCGTGTCTCCGCTCTCATGATCATAGGTGAAGGTAGGAAGGTAGACCGATTTACCATGACTGCTGAGCCGATCCATGTGGTGATCTTCTAAGCCGCGGTTCTTGACCAAATTTCTTGGGAGGGGGTACTAAGTGGGAGCAGTGTTTTTTATTCCTGGGGGCACAGAAAATAGGCAGAATTTTTAAAAATGGGGTAATAGAACCCAAGGACTGTTAGTGTTTCTAGAGAGCATAGATGTAGCAGATAAAAACTCTGATCCAGTCTCAGTAGGACTGAACCCTATAATCAGAGATGGGAAGTAACGAAGTACAAATACTTAGTTACTGTACTCAAGTAGATTTTTCTGATATTTTTACTTTATTTTACTACTTATTTTTATGGCGACTTTTTACTTCTACTCCTTACATTTTTACACAAATATCTGTACTTTCTACTCCTTACATTTTAAAAACTTGGCTCGTTACTTTAGTTTTGAATCATTTCAATGGAGTTACCGTTATTATTTTTCACGTCATCAATACCAAATTCAATCTAATTGGATGGGAATCTACGTTGCATTTGACGCACCACTACAAGATGAATCGACAGATTCGGCGGTATTCATTCGCAGGAAATCATTGCAGCTTGGTGGCGGTGGCGTTAGCATAGTAGCATGGACGACGAGATGATTGAAAATGAACACAACGGAGATCTAGTCCTATTGGCAGACATCCATTTAAAATGTAGGCAACGGCATGAAAAAAGTGGTTTCTACTTTTACTTTTATACTTTAAGTAAATTTACAAGCCTGTACTTTGTTACTTTTACTCGAGTAAAGAAGTTTAATCAGTACTTCCACTTTTACCAGAGTATTTTTTAACACAAGTATCTATACTTTTACTGAAGTACGGAAAGTGAGTACTTTTGCCATATCTGCCTATAATGAAATAAATCCAACAGACAAATCAGTTACGGTTACTTGGACGGTGCATAACACCATAAGACATTAGGGTTACATCTACATGAGCCATAACACGGGCCAAGAACAGTTCTACAGGAGTGGTGGTACCTGTAAAGAACTGCCCATGTATCTCCCTTCAGTCAAAACAAGCCCCTCAGGTATCTCAGGGGCTTGAACTCTTCACTTGAGGCCGGAACTCTCCTGAACTATAAGAGGGGTAGCCACACCTTTTAGGTCAAGAACTTGGGGGGAGTTGATTTATTGACTTAATTGATCTCAAGGTTGAGAAATGTACTTGTTACTTCGGCTCAAATAGTCAAAAAGAAGAAGGTGACAAAGAAAGAAAAGGTGCATGGGGGTATGTACAAGTTGACCTTCATCCCTTTCTGCCTTGCACTCACCTCAGCTTATGCTATGGGTCTAAGGTCCCCTGACTCCTGGTACCCCCCTCCCACAGGGCAGCACATGCAGATCCATTGAACAGACTCTGGGGAACCCTCGATGACCCCTCAGAGGATGTAGAGCTGGTCCATCTCTCAACAGCCAAGACAAAGACCATGATGCTCCTCCTGAAGCAGAGGTTGGACAATCACCCAGACTCATCCTTGCCTTCTCAGGCATGCTGAGCAGTGTGATACTCCTGTAGTTATGACGTACACCCTCTGGTCCAGCACAATAGTCTGCCCGTCCAGGGACACTGTCCCCAACTGCTCCATATTGTTGAAAAGGCATTTCAACTTCAAAAGTCCACTCAGACAGACTCCTACCCCAAAAGCCTTGGCACCCTGGAGGTTTTGACCCCCTTGGTGATGAAGGACTCCAACTCCTCTCCAGTCTCTGCTTCCATCAGGAAAGGTTTAATCGCACAATGAAGTTGATCTTCAAAGTATTCCCTCCACCGTCCGACAATGTCCTCAGTTGAGGTCAGCAGCCGACCACCCCAGATGTAAACAATGTTAGCAGTGCTTCATTCTTTGAAGGCACCCAACAGTTTGCCAGAATTGCTTTAAGGCTGAGCATTAGTCTGCATAATGAATAACTTCAACCTTTGAGCATGTGTATGGAGTGGGGTGGACAGGATCCAACATGAAGAGAATATTTATTTTAGTAACATCGGCAGTGACACATTTCTGGCACTCCCAGTAATTCTTTTTAAGCGGTTGGGACTGCAGCATTTGTGTCCTTTATATTAAAGATAACTGTTTCTCTGGTGATATAAAAAGCCTAGCCACTCTGAAAATAGAAAAGAAAGTTGATCTTCACCTAAATTTGAACTCTTCCACCATCAGATGGATCATTTAATTTAAATGTTACAAGCAGAACTGTAAACATCATGGAGTAACACCATAAAAACAATTGGGTTCCCTCTACTTAAAAACCACTTGTTCATGGAGTAAGTCAGAAAAAAGAAAATAGACTTTTGGATTTTGTTTTTACCACCAACTCTCTGGGGTTATTTGTGTAAAACAAAAAGTGAACATTGTCAATAAAAAAATGGTAGCACTGTTAACCATAACAGAGTCTAAGGCTATGTTCAGACTGTAGGTCTTAATGCTTGATTCTGATTTCTTTGTCTCAAATTGTTTATCTGAAGTTACCCACATGAGGAACAATAACAAGACATGTCAGAAGTCAGTGTCAATGGATGGATTTAAAGCTGTTAAGCAGTGAAAGCAGCCGGATGATAGAGCAGACAATGCGGGGAATGAGACAGAGGCGATTTAAATTATGAATTAAGGCTTTCTGTGGAGCACTGGCAGCGACGTCTCTGCAGAGAAATGTGTGGCTGCAGCGTCATGGCCAACTGACCTGTTAAGGTGTGACCCCACCGGTTTCTTTTGGATTGTTGTATCAACCCAAATACTAATAAATCCAAAGGTTCGTCCCTCCATTTTACACCCCCTTTTACGCTGTCCTCTAGGGGTGTAAATCACACCCATCAGGGCGATTCGTTTCAGTTTCAATTTCCTGACCCAACGATTCGATTATTTTCGATACTCAAGAATACACCACGAAACCATTCGATTAATTGGTTAATTTTTCAGGCTAGACAATGTTTCAAATTTGAAATAAATCAATGAATGCTGTAATATCGTTATGCATTTTATTTGAGAAACATTTCAGAATTACGTCCAGGAGCAAATGGATAGACATGAATAGATAGCCTTGCGGACGTGTCAATGCATCGGATCGTCGGCTGTTGGATCGATGCATCGATACAAAACGATTATTATTTACACCCCTACTGTCTTCCCTTTTTTTTCCTGTTGTAGTTGTGTTTCTCCCCTCACTATCAGAAGAGACACCATCTTCATAATAATTCCCGTATGGGTCCTTTGGCTGTTCAGACAGCAGTCACATTCCCAAAGATCCGACCTGTGAACTTACCCAAGGACATGTGGCCCGGATTGGATTTGAAAAAGTCGGTTCCATGTGACCTGGTCTGTTTACACGCTCATGAAAGATTCTCTCCTGGTTCACTTCAGGAAAAGAAATCTGATCTTGGCCACATTTGTCTACAGTGTGAACGTAGCGTATGATACTGTGGGCTGGTTTCTCTTCCAAAGGCCCAGAGGCAATTGTTACTGCATGAAAAACACTTTGAGACTTCACAGGGTCAGAGTAATATACTTTTATATTTGGGCTCATCCGTGTCCATACCAGCACTTTTCTATTTTAAACCATTTATACACATATTACCCGGCAAATATAGAAGTTTACATCGGTGGTGTTAATATGAACTAGATAAGCAGATAAAGGTATTTCTAAAGAGAGATCAAGCTTCTAATGCAGGCTGCTGCAGATGGAAATTAAACTGTCGCATTTAATGAAGAGAAAAGTTAAAAAACAACATTAGAAACAGTTGATTTATTCTTATTTAATATATTGCGTGTGTGTTTTTAAAACATTTGTTGTATAGTTACAGGAGTGTTTTGAAGAGGTTCACATAGCTCTACACATAGATGCAGCCAGCCAGTCAACCAGCCGTCCACATAAGTGTGCATGTTGTCTCCAATTGACAGACAAAAATAGATGACCCTTTTTAACAAATAGTCCGTGCAGCGCTGTCACCGCCAATGACATTTACAAGAACTCTCCTACATCTGGATCCACGGCTGTTTTAGGAAGTTGAGAATCAGGTTCGTCTTCAAACATGTTTCCAATTAAAAATACCTGCAATTAGATCATTTCCACTCTTTTTTTTTAAAGCAACAAACAAGGTTTGTGCAGTTTAAAACTATTAGAACTAATGTCCCTGTTTAGTATTTTACTAAAGGATATGTGCACTCAGCAGTTTTGCATATTGCTCCGGACGATATCTTTTCAGGTAAACAGTCATCTTTCCTTCAACTCTTCTCTCGCCGTGCAGACCTGAGTGAAAAGCAGCAGATCAAAAACATGTAAGAGAAGGAGATCGTAGCAAACAGTCAGCAGTTTGATAGCATCAAGCTCACCCAGCCTCTGAGCAGTTTGTCTGATCTTCTCTTGTGCAGACAGCATGTCCCCCCCCTCTGGTACAAGGACCTCTATCTCCCCCACATGGTAGCCAAAGTCAGCTTGGTCCAGATCGATCTGCACCCCCTCCACTCCTTTCAAAGTGAAGGACCTCCGTGTTGTAGTAAACTCTGCGAAGCAGACCAGATGCAGCTCGCTCAGCCAGGAGTCGTCTTCATCAGAGGGGGTCTCGTCCGTCTCAGGAGCATTGTTTATGAGCTCCTTTACTCTCTGGTAGATTTCAGAGAGGTTGGTGATCTCCTTATACTGAGTACACAGAGACTCCTCGGTTCTACTGACTGCAGCCGTCGGGCACTTGAGCTCCCAGGATTGTTTCCGTCTGCGCAGCCAAGTGTCTCTTAAAGTCAGTTTAAAATCCGGGGTGTCAAAATACTGATCGTGAAACTGTTTCTGGCCGATGCAAACTGAAGGAAGGAATATAAAAAAACCAAAAAAGAATCAACAAATAGAATAAAAGGAAACATGTTCTGACTGTAAGTCAACATTAATTTAAATAAGTGGTTCTAATACTTGCCTCCAATGTCCTCTACCGTTTTCAAGGTGTCTGAGTCGAATATAAACTTTTGTTCCACTTCCACACTCATCTGAAACGATACAGCAACCTCAGCATGAGAAGTACTTGTAGAGCAGGCATGTCAAAGTCAAACACACCGAGGGCCAAAAAAAATATTTGCTATAAGCTGAGGGCCAAACGGGTTAAATGTTTATTAACACATATTGAAATGAACATAGTCTATTGAACCAAGATCTAACACATTGTTTTTCCATCCATCCATTATCTGACACACTTGTCCCAAGTGGGTTTGCGAGGGGTGCTGGTGCCTATCTCAAGCAGTCAATGGGCGAGAGGCGGGGTTCACCCTGGACAGGTCGCCAGTCCATCGCAGGGCAACACAAAGACACACAACCATTCACACACACACACTCATACCTAAGGAGAATTTAGACAAGTCAATTAACCCAACAGTTATGTTTTTGGACTGTGGGTGGAAGCAGGAGTACCCGGAGAGAACTCATGAATGCACAGGGAGAACATGCAAACTACATGCAGAGTGCACTAACTGCGCTTTACAAATGTGTCAGCAGCAGCAGAGGCTGATTGAAACCACAATAAAAGGAGCCGGGCACAGAATAGTGAACAGACGGCACTGTAAGGGCCGGGTTCCGCGCCTGTAAGTAGCGCTCCGTCTCGATCAGAGTATCGTGCGGATCCCACCTGCCCCTCGCTCAGCAGCGGGTCCGTCTCTATCACCTGCAGGATCAGATCTGCCCCTCCCTCCATCCAGGCTCCTTTTATTTTGGCTTAGATCGGCCTTCTTAGACAACTGACTTCAGCCCAGATTGGGTTGTTAAAGAGGGAAAAGCAAAAAAACAAAACAAAAAAACAATCCAAACATGCAAAGCACAACAAAAAAATAAAAATTTAAGAAAAACACAACCATGTTTTCCCCTGGGAATGTAGTGTTGGTGCGTACAACACAACCGTACCAAGGCTACATTCCCCACAAAGCCACGGCAGCGCGCACAAGCGGCCGTGGCCTGTGGGCCGGTTCTAATGGTAATTAAATATCATCCAGGGGGCCATGGATAAACAACTCCCTTGATGTTGACATATGTGTTGTAGAGCATAACTCGCGGAACAAAACATAATAAAAATGTTTTGTTTAACATGTTATAGCATTAATGTTCATCCTTGGAACGTGGAAAAGTTATGATGTGATTTTCCTATAAAATCGAACCTGACTATCTTCCTCCTGTTGGCAAAATGTCCCTCAGTCTTCATCTTCTCAGCAATCCTGGGGCAGTTATCGCAGCCTTTCAGAGATTTGATGTCACATTACCAGGTGACATTTCGCAGCTGGACCAGTTTAAAGAGTGTTGCAACATGCAAGAAGGTCTGGCTGCTATCCAACTATTTTAATCTCTAACAAGAAGAAAGGAGAATGCTGTAAAACCTAAACACAGGTGGTAATTCATCAAGAAATCTGAAAGATAGATGGTCTACTTTCAACTCCTCGCAGCATTTTGTCCTTGCATTCATCTGAAAGTTCATACTTAACACGATTAATCTGAATAAATCAAATTAGCAAAGCAAAAATAGTGAACTGAATGACCAATTTTCTTTCATGTTTAACAACACAAGTCACTCAAATTATAAAGGAAGTATTTCTACCATTCATTAATGACGAGAAACTTCAATTTATTTTACAGGGAAGATGTTTGTTGGCTCAATACAAAGCAGTGCATGACTATGAAAGTATAATGAAAGTAAAACGTCATCTTCAAAATATTTCACAGATGTAAATCTGTCAAAATAGAAAATGTAATTGTTCCTCAGTATTTGTTTTTTTTTTCTGCAAAGGTCTCAGACAGCAGAGATGGGAAGTAATGAAGTACAAATACTTCATTACTGTACTCAAGTAGATTTTTCTGATATTTTTACTTTACTTTACTACTTATTTTTATGGCGACTTTTTACTTCTACTCCTTACATTTTTACACAAATATCTGTACTTTCTACTCCTTACATTTTAAAAAATTGGCTCGTTACTTTAGTTTTGAATCATTTCAATGGAGTTACTGTTATTATTTTTCACGCCATCAATACCAAATTCAATCTAATTGAATGGGAATCTACGTTGCATTTGACGCACCACTACAAAATGAATCGACAGATTCGGCGGTATTCATTGGCGGCAAATCATTGCAGCTTGGTGGCGGTGGCGTTAGCATAGTAGTATGGACGACGAGATGATTGAAAATGAACACAACGGAGATCTAGTCCTATTGGCAGACATCCATTTAAAATGTAGGCAACGGCATGAAAAAAGTGGTTTCTACTTTTACTTTTATACTTTAAGTAAATTTACAAGCCTGTACTTTGTTACTTTTACTTGAGTAAAGACGTTTAATCAGTACTTCCACTTTTACCAGAGTATTTTTTAACACAAGTATCTGTACTTTTACTCAAGTACGGAAAGTGAGTACTTTTGCCATCTCTGTCAGACAGTAACCATATTGAATGTAGGTAACACGTCAGACTGGGTTACATAAAAAAAAAAAAGTATCCATGCTTTTAGACATAAATTATCTGAAAATAGAAAGAATATTGCACAACTTCAGTCCTAAGACAAAGCTAAGTTTAAAGTCTTAGAAAGGACCGCAGAAATTAGAAGAGCAACCAAGAGGCCCATGGCAACTCTGGAGCAGCTACAGAGATCTGCAGCTCAGGGGAGATGCTTTGAATTAATTTCCCATTCAACATTTTAGTCCTTTATTAAAGAGCGGCACTGAGACAGTGAATTTATCCAGAGGCATAAGCAGAATGATTCATTTTGTCATGAGCAATATAAAGGTTCCATGTGAAAAAAGGTGATCTGCTATGATAAAGGGGAACTTTTTTATTTTTCTTACAGGAAAAACAAGAAATGTATTGATAGACAAACACTTAACATCAGCCTGAACAGACCACGGACACAGTGAAACAGGTGGCGGTGTCATGCTGTGGGGTTGCTTGTATTTTTCTAGGACAGGGAGGGTTATTAGTAAGGGTGTAGCGACTGAGCTTTTAATGGATGGATCCATTAATATTCCACAAAACCACATCAATATGTGCTTGGCAAATTGTTAATAATAATGACTTGAACTAGTCTAAAATCAATATACAGGGTAATTAATTAATAGTATTGCTATTAGGAAAATACACAGAGGCACGGTGGTTTTTTAAAATATATTCTTTTTAGATGCCTTCTATGTGAGCATTTTTAATAATGAATACATTAAATGTGACTCAGTTAAAGGAATAGTACACCCAAAACATGATTAGCCTTCATTTTCTACTCACCCCCATGCTGAACAACACTCTGGAGTACTTTTTTGATATCTCAAATGCATCTGGAGATCTGGGAGGCTTCTTGCTGTCTGCTGACATTCAAATAATGGAGGTCTATGGTGACCGAGACAGAAAGGTCCATAAAAGTCCACAAAAAACGTGTCAATATTCCTCCATACTGCTCGTCCAATGTATTCCAAGTGTCCTGAGTGGGTAGCATCCAGAATTTACTCGAAACGAAGTCATTTAGAATGTTTTTAGAGCATAAACAGTAGTGTATAGGATTTCCTGAAAGCGCGCGCCGGCGCGTTCATGACGCTACGGAAGCCGGCAGACCAAACCAGATGAAAGTGCGCATTTAGCGTCTGCTCTGCCAATAATGCAAGCGTAGAAGAAGAAATGTGCTGTTTACCTGTGCAAAGAAAGAAACAACGAAAGAAAAATGTCTGAGGACTTCAGTGTTGAGGAAGAGCAGGAGTTCTTTGCCGAGCTGAATGCGCTGGTTTGGTCTGCCGGCTTCCGTAGTGTCGGGAGCGCGCATGTGCGCGCTTTCATGAAATCCTATACACTACTGTTTATGCTCTAAAAACATTCTAAATGACTTTGTTTCGAGTAAATTCTGGATGCTACCCACTCAGGACACTTGGAATACATTGGACGAGCAGTATGGAGGAATATTGACACGTTTTTTGTGGACTTTTATGGACCTTTCTGTCTCGGTCACCATGGACCTCCATTATTTGAATGTCAGCAGACAGCAAGAAGCCTCCCAGATCTCCAGATGCATTTGAGATATCAAAAAAGTACTCCAGAGTGTTGTTCAGCATGGGGGTGAGTAGAAAATGAAGGCTAATCATGTTTTGGGTGTACTATTCCTTTAAGTCTGTCTGTGATGTCATGACCATGCATAAGAGGCACAGACTTCAACCAGATTTAGATGGAGGGGGAGTCACATTTACAAACAGCGTAGCCGCTGTTGTTTATATTTTGAGCTAAGAATTTACTGAAGCAATTTCAAGTTACTGAATTGTGTCGAATCGATCTAGACCAGGGGTCTTCAACTTTTTCCAGGCCAAGAACCCCCAAACTGATTGCGAGATGGAGCGGGGACCCCCTAATTATATATGGTATGAAATTGTGTTATATCAAACTGGTAATAGTCACTCTATTACAGATGGAGTGATGTAACAAAAGTAATTTCTCCCTGGGATTATTAAAGTATTTCTGATTCTGATTCCTGGTTGATGGGACAGGTGTTGTGAATGAAATGGTGCCCAGCTTGAAAGAGCTCCTGTGTGTCGCTGAATGTCTGCATTGATGACTGAAAGACATCTTCTGCCTCCATTTATCTGTTTACTACAGTCTGTTGAATTCATGTTAATGTGAATTTAAAGACATTTCAATCAGTGGAAAAAATTGCAGGAGGAATATTAAAAAAGTCTAATCAACCAAAACTTTCGTGACCCCCATGCAGTACCTCTGTGGACCCCCTAGGGGTCGCGGACCCCCTGTTGAAGACCTCTGATCTAGATTAACCAAAATCGGCCACGACTCGAATCGGAAGCCATGAATCGTGATATGAATCGAATCTTTGTTCCAATGAATCACTACACCCATAGCTGTTAGAGTTCATAGGAGGATAAATGAAGTTAAATATAGAAATATACAGCAAGAAAAAAGATCAGAGGCTTAATAAGACTTTTTTTTTTTCTTTCAGCAAAAAAACAAACAAAAAACAAATGAATATTAATGTTGTATTGGCGCAGTCAATCCCCAGGCCAAATCATGTTGAGAATCTGTAGCAAGACTTAGAAAATGCCTTTCAGATTTTCCTTTGGTCCAATCTATGCTGAACGATTATTAGAAAGGAAAACAAGCAACTACAGTCATTTTAAAGTCACTGATTATTTCTATATTTTAGCATTTAATATAAATATTAAAATGCCTTATGTTAATATTTATTACATTAACATATAATAACCTGGTATAACCTGATTTAAATGCAATAAACCATTTACTTTTTATTTAATTCTAGAATCTTACAATAAATAATTTTAATCAACCAGCCACAGTGTTGAACATAACTGGTCTGCTAAAAAAAATGTTTTTATAGTTCACTCTGTGTCATTTTATTAAAATAGAAGGCCCTAATTAGTAAAACAGGAAAACACCTGTCTCCTGAACAGCCCGAAAAGCGGTTACAAATACCGTAAAAATAGAAAAATAACATAACTGAAAGAGATACACTTTACGGCTTCGCATACCTTTACACAGGTGAGGACTTTCAATTCGCTTTCTTTTCAGTGCAAAATTCGTACGTCATGTCCAATTAGGGAGCCAGGAAGGGTCTGAGAGCTACATTTTTGCACAGGCGCATGAAGGGGCACCTATGAGTGTCTTCTGGCGGATCACTGGCCGCCTCGGAAACGCAGACGCGCACAGATGGTGCAGTTTTAATCCCCACCGCTTCATAAATATTTACTCCGCACACTCGACTGGTTGATCTAAAACCACACCTATCATTTGATTGAAAACATGCCATAATTCGGGCAGGCGGCGCTGAGCGGAGGCTTTGCAGCCTTAGCTCCATTATTCAGCTTTAATTAACTCGTCTGAATGTGTGTGACGATCCAAGTTGGCAGAATGGGGACTCATTTATAATTCACCTTTTAATGTGAGAATGGGGAGGAAGGGTTTCATGTTAGAGGGCATTCTGTCGAGTCTAATTTTTGACACTTTTTTTCTTTGAATGTTAAGGGGAAACGTGTCCACCAGGTTGCTGCTTTAAAGATAACTGTAAAAAAACACTTTTTGATGTATAAATAATGTGTGACTCCTGCAAAATTACATAAGGGATTTCATAGTCATATATGGAGGACAAAATGTGCCACAGTTGAATAAAAAGAATACTTATAAAATAAGTACAGGTGCTGGTCATAAAATTAGAATATCATGAAAAAGTAGATTGATTTCAGTAATTCAATTTAAAAAGTGAAACTTGTATATTATATTCATACATTACATACAAACTCATATATTTCAGATGTTTATTTTGTTTAATTTTGATGATTACAAATGACAACAAATGAAAATCTCAAATTCATCATATCAGAAAATTAGAATATTACTGAAGACCAATAAAAACAAAGGATTTATAGAAATGTTGGCCAACTGAAAAGTATGAACATGAAAAGTATGAGCATGTACAGCACTCAGTATTTAGTTGGGCCTCCTTTGGCCTGTATTACTGCAGCAATGCGGCGTGGCATGGAGTCGATCAGTCTGTGGCACTGCTCAGGTGTTATGATAGCCCAGGTTGCTCTAATAGTGGCTTTTAGCTCTTCTGAATTGTTGGGTCTGGTGTATTGCATCTTCTTCTTCACAGTACCCCATAGATTTTCTATGGGGTTAAGGTCAGGAGAGTTTGCTGGCCAATTAAGAACAGGGATACCATGGTCCTTCAACCAGGTACTGGTAGCTTTGGCACTGTGTGCAGGTGCCAAGTCCTGTTGGAAAATGAAATCTGCATCTCCAAAAATTTGGTCAGCTGCAGGAAGCATGAAGTGCTCTAAAACTTCCTGGTATGTGACTGCGTTGACCCTGGACCTCAGAAAACACAATGGACCAACACCAGCAGATGACATGGCACCCCAAACCATCACTGACTGTGGAAACTTTACACTGGACTTCAAGCAACGTGGATGAAGTGCCTCTCTTCTTTTCCTCCAGACTCTGGGACCTTGATTTCCAAAGGAAATGCAAAATTTACTTTCATCAGAGAACATGACTTTGGACCACTCACCAGCAGTCCAGTCCTGTTTCTCTTTAGCCCAGGCAAGACGCTTCTGACGCTGTCTGTGGTTCAAGAGTGGCTTGACACAAGGAATGCGACAGCAGAAACCCATGTCTTTCATACGTCTGTGTGTGGTGGTTCTTGAAGCACTCACTCCAGCTGCAGTCCACTCTTTGTGAATCTCCCCCACATTTTTGAATGGGTTTTGTTTCACAATCCTCTCCAGGGTGCGGTTATCTCTCTTGCTTGTACACTTTTTTCGACCACATCTTTTCCTTCCCTTCGCCTCTCTATTAATGTGCTTGGACACTGAGCTCTGTGAACAGCCAGCCTCTTTAGCGATGACCTTTTGTGTCTTGCCCTCCTTGTGCAAGGTGTCGATGGTCGTCTTTTGGACAACTGTCAAGTCAGCAGTCTTCCCCATGATTGTGTAGCCTATAGAACTAGACTGAAAGACCATTTAAAGGCTTTTGCAGGTGGTTTGAGTTAATTAGCTGATTAGAGTGTGGCACCAGGGGCCATCAATTTTGAACCTTTTCACAATATTCTAATTTTCTGATATGATGAATTTGAGATTTTCATTTGTTGTCATTTGTAATCATCAAAATTAAACAAAATAAACATCTGAAATATATGAGTTTGTATGTAATGTATGAATATAATATACAAGTTTCACTTTTTAAATGGAATTACTGAAATCAATCTACTTTTTCATGATATTCTAATTTTATGACCAGCACCTGTATTTACAAATATGGAATTTTATAAATATGTACACTGCATAAACAAAGTTACAGATAATTACTACCAAAAGTGTAAAAATATTGAAATATATATATACTATGGTGGTACAAAACTTGATTTTAATTTCAAAATTTAAAAAAACAAATGCTAACACATTGTCGAATGATATATGGAACTTGTTAAATTGGCTTTCAAAATTGCTAAAAGCATATTTGAATGTCTTAAATTGTGTTAAAATGCAGGATGACATAATAAAAATTTGTTAGAACTGTAAATATACAGTCATAATTTACTATTACTATGTTTTTAAGTATTTATTACTGTTTTCAAGGCTGCACTTTAAAAAATTAAATTGTCTTGAGCTGTTTTAAATGAAATTTCTTTTTGTTTACACCGGTGTATTCAAAATGAAAAAGTAAATCTGTTTAAGTCTAAGCTGTCACTGTAGCTTCTAAAATAGACCATAATATCACAACTTTTGATGCCAAGGATTTTTTTTTTAGTTTTCATGTTTATTTCATAAAGAATTAAGATATATTATCTGAATGGTATTTAAGGAGAATTTCATGCAATTCTTTAATACTTTTAATTTTAATAGCATAAAAACATATAAAAAGGCTAATTATGAGAATCCCGATTGTAGTTCTGCATAGCCTCCATACAAGGTTTGTTGCAACACTGAATTTTTTTTTTAAGTCAAATTAAGTAAAACCTCAACCTGAATTGAATTGAGAATAAAATAAGTAAATTACAAACAAAAAACAACAAAAAAAAACATGCAAAGCAAAAACTAACCAGTTAATATCCCTTTCTAAATTAACATAGTACAAAATAATAGAAAATAGTAAACATGCAAATTTCTATTTTTTATTTGGGGGGGGGGGGGGGGGGGGGGGGGGGGTAGCTCAACTTTTAAAATAAATACACAAATTCTGAGTTCTGTTTTGTATTTAATTCTGCATTTATTTAAATAAATATTAACTCAACTTTACCTATATATTCTTTTTATTTCTTTATATGGAATCTTAAATTATTTTATATATTTTTTTTATGCTTTATTAACCATTCCGTGTTGAGAATTGATATACAACAGTTAGTGAAACATTGGACAATTATAGGTAAAAGTATAACTTTAAGAAAGACGAGACATAGAAGGTAAAAAAAATAAAATAAATGAAATAAACAAATAAATAAATAAATAAATAAACATAAAATAATAATATCTAGGGGTTTACATTGAGTTTATGGTCATTTACAAAATTGTATAATTTTATACCATTTTTCTTCGTCATAAATTTAAGTGATTTAAAATACAAAAAAAGTTCTTTAAGGAAAACGTTGAAGTTTGGCTTGGTCCTCATGTATTTGTTTTTGTGAATGAAAAATTTCCCCATCATGAGTAAAACATTAAAGGCTATGTCTTGCAGGTTAACTGTCATTTCTATTCCAAACAAAACACTCTCTTTGTCCAGATAAGAAGGAAATTATTTTATAATTGACCACACTGTGGCACATCCGGGGCTCCATAGATCCTGAATGTCAGCAATCAGCGTTGGAGGGAGCTGTGGTCTGTTTACTAGAGGGAAGAGGGGAAGGAGAGAGGGCAAATAAGGGAGGGGGGAAACTGAAGAGAGCAACGAGAGAGAGAGAGAGAGAGAGAGAGGGCAGGCAGGCAAGAAAACTTTTCACTTGTGAGGAGCCACAGAGGAAGCGTGTGTGCGTGTAGGAGCGGCGACCATGCAGGTAAAAACGCATTTGCTAATTGCTCCCAACTTAATTAAACCAGATCCGCGGTCGTTTAATTGCGCCCCTTCGAAGAGTGGCCTGCGACTGTTAGACGAGCGAGTAAAAAAAAACGACGGATCGTGCCCCGATACTAATCCGATCCATAATAGAAATCCCACATTAAATCCCAAACTTTTTTTTTTTCTGCCCCCTCCGTCTCTGTTTCGCCTGCTCTCCCCGATCCACCCCCCCATCGTCGAGGCAAACGCGACGGACGTACTCCTTTTTTCCAACTAACGTTTTTTTGTTTTTTAAGTGTCGTTTAAATATATCCTCAATTACGTGTTTCGGGGCTGTTTAAACAAGAGTTGAGGGAAAATACTCATGTGTTGCACCGAAAGTGTTTTAAGGTGTGGATCCGAGCGCTAGGACGCAGTCAAATAGGGGGTCTAACTAGTCACCGAGGGAGGAGGAGGGGGCGCGAGCCCAACACATCTGTAAGCGGAGCCCACGTTCATTAATTAAATGGCTTCAGTCCGGGTAGGCCTCCATTTACGCTGCTGAGTAGCAGCCGGCGGGTGGTGCAACCCTAGATGCCCGATTGGCAGCTCATAATCAGAGGGGGAAGGAAATAACTAGAGGCCGAGGTTGTTGCCTTTTTTTTCTTCTTCTTCTTTTTGGATTCTGAAGTTTAGTGTTTTTATGTCATAGCTGAACTCTTGTTTTTCGAGCTCCCCCACCTGGAGCCCCGGACAGTTTTGTTTGCAAGCGCACCCAGTCGGAGGCAGTTTGAGCAACGGGTTAATTAGCGTCGCTTGCTAACAGGCTAGCTAGCGAAGTAACACGGCTGTTAACAGCTCCGACTCTTTTGTTTATTAATTTAACGTCGGCCCAGCCCGAGCAGAGCACCGAGCGGAGATTATGCTCACTCTTCCACACCCCCTATTTTTTTTTTCGCAGCTTTTAAAGAAGTGTGTCGTTGGCCGCAGGATTATTTTCGGTAAACTATCAGCTAACGAGCATTTCCAAACAGCAGTGTAATGCGACGTAGCGGGGGGGGGCTTCACAGCCTAGCTTGCTAGCTAATTGATTCGGTCGGCATAGCTAATTAGAATGCTAATTAATTAGCCTCTTTAAGGCAGAGGGACACAGAATCTGTTAGTTTGTGGTGTTTTTGGTTACATATGTCATGCGGTATTTTAATATGACCTGAACAATGCTCAGGCAGACTCATCGAAACAGTATCTGATCACATATCCCTGCTAGCTTGCTAATTGGCAGGAGTAAGGAAGTGAGGTGGTAGCTGTGTTGGTATTTTTATTTGGCTGCATCTGTTATTAACGCTCTGAGAAAATGCATGGGCGACATTTGTAGAAATGCAGACTGTTTTGATGTCACTTTTTGCTTGAGTTAAAATGCATGTTGTTGTGGGGAGGCAATGTGATCTCAAAATAAACGGCCCAGTGTTTTTTTCTAGTGCTGCATGGCTTCATTTGCATTTTTTTTTAGCTGTTCTCCTTTTTTGTTTTTGCTCTTAATGGTTGATCATCTGTGAAATGAGTCTGAATTAAAAGAGGAATAAAACACTAGTTCTTCAATTTAATATGAACGGGTTCTTGTATTACAATGTGACATTTAAACAGTTTATGAGGAAATTAAGATCAGATTTAACAGGGTGGGATTAGTTTTACTAGAAATAACTGCATATTCTACACTTACATCTAAAATAAAAGCTACAAAAACAAAAATATCTCCATAAATACTGCAATAAACGCTTTATTAATGCTAGAATTAAGATTGGTGCTTATTCTCATGAATGATTTTAACTCAATTAAAAGAGTAATGGCATGTCTGCTTCAAATGAGATTGTTGGAAATTTAGTTGGAGTGCTTTTAAAGTGCTGAAATTAAGATTTTCATCCCTCAGCTTAAACTTGAACTAGCACTTTTTTTTTAAACTTTTGCATATACGGTAAATTTTGCTGTGTTAAAGTAACACTTTAAGAGTCCCACTTGGAATTAGTGTTAAACTAGAACTCTACATAGTGTATATTTTACTGCAGTTTTTGTTGTAATAACTCTAAAAGAGTCAATGTACTTTGACACTGCATATTTAATACTGTGGAATTTACTGTGTACATGCAGGAAATATTACGTTTTTAGGTAAATTAATACAAATTGGGCTGCCCAAAAACCTGTATAATTTGCTTCCAGCTGTGTTGTTAACAGTAATGACATACAATGAATAATAAATGCTATCTGGGGATTGTTATTGGAGTTACTCCAAACTGCAGCAAATAAGAATTGGTTTCTGAAGGGGCGGAGCAGCTTTGGGCTGAATAACAGAATAGGTGATTGGAGCAGAGGAGCATGCCTTAGATTTACTGAAGTACTATATCTACTGTAACATCTTTGTAATTTAATATGCATACATAGAGCGAAGGAAACTTGCTGAACAATCAACAAATGTATCAAGCTTTTAGCACTATTGTGGAGGATATTTGTTGTTTTTGCTGTTTGACACTTTGTAGAGAAACTTCAAGAATGCTGTTGATTATTTTAGCAACTGCTTAACCTCTTCTTCCAATTTGATCTGAAAAGATTTAATCTTAAAATATTAATTGCACGTTTCAGATGCATTTATAGAGGGGAAGAAGTATAAAAAGTTTTTAATTGGTGCTCTTAGTGGGTGGTTCTGTCTGCAATTTGTGTTTGAGTTTCTGCGTTTAGATAATTGCAGTAGTCATTAACAAAAGTGCAGTTATGAATATTCTGATTAATTATTTTAGCCTTTAAAATATGCAAAGCCAATATTTGCAGATTCAACATAGTAGGGAGCCTATCAGATTAGAAAACAGCTTTAAGTTGAGGTGGATAAATACAGGTGCTGGTCATAAAATTAGAATATCATGAAAAAGTAGATTGATTTCAGTAATTCCATTTAAAAAGTGAAACTTGTATATTATATTCATACATTACATACAAACTCATATATTTCAGATGTTTATTTTGTTTAATTTTGATGATTACAAATGACAACAAATGAAAATCTCAAATTCATCATATCAGAAAATTAGAATATTGTGAAAAGGTTCAAAATTGATGGCCCCTGGTGCCACACTCTAATCAGCTAATTAACTCAAACCACCTGCAAAAGCCTTTAAATGGTCTTTCAGTCTAGTTCTATAGGCTACACAATCATGGGGAAGACTGCTGACTTGACAGTTGTCCAAAAGACGACCATCGACACCTTGCACAAGGAGGGCAAGACACAAAAGGTCATCGCTAAAGAGGCTGGCTGTTCACAGAGCTCAGTGTCCAAGCACATTAATAGAGAGGCGAAGGGAAGGAAAAGATGTGGTCGAAAAAAGTGTACAAGCAAGAGAGATAACCGCACCCTGGAGAGGATTGTGAAACAAAACCCATTCAAAAATGTGGGGGAGATTCACAAAGAGTGGACTGCAGCTGGAGTGAGTGCTTCAAGAACCACCACACACAGACGTATGAAAGACATGGGTTTCTGCTGTCGCATTCCTTGTGTCAAGCCACTCTTGAACCACAGACAGCGTCAGAAGCGTCTTGGCTGGGCTAAAGAGAAACAGGACTGGACTGCTGGTGAGTGGTCCAAAGTCATGTTCTCTGATGAAAGTAAATTTTGCATTTCCTTTGGAAATCAAGGTCCCAGAGTCTGGAGGAAAAGAAGAGAGGCACTTCATCCACGTTGCTTGAAGTCCAGTGTAAAGTTTCCACAGTCAGTGATGGTTTGGGGTGCCATGTCATCTGCTGGTGTTGGTCCATTGTGTTTTCTGAGGTCCAGGGTCAACGCAGCCACATACCAGGAAGTTTTAGAGCACTTCATGCTTCCTGCAGCTGACCAACTTTTTGGAGATGCAGATTTCATTTTCCAACAGGACTTGGCACCTGCACACAGTGCCAAAGCTACCAGTACCTGGTTGAAGGACCATGGTATCCCTGTTCTTAATTGGCCAGCAAACTCTCCTGACCTTAACCCCATAGAAAATCTATGGGGTATTGTGAAGAAGAAGATGCAATACACCAGACCCAACAATTCAGAAGAGCTAAAAGCCACTATTAGAGCAACCTGGGCTATCATAACACCTGAGCAGTGCCACAGACTGATCGACTCCATGCCACGCCGCATTGCTGCAGTAATACAGGCCAAAGGAGGCCCAACTAAATACTGAGTGCTGTACATGCTCATACTTTTCATGTTCATACTTTTCAGTTGGCCAAAATTTCTATAAATCCTTTGTTTTTATTGGTCTTCAGTAATATTCTAATTTTCTGATATGATGAATTTGAGATTTTCATTTGTTGTCATTTGTAATCATCAAAATTAAACAAAATAAACATCTGAAATATATGAGTTTGTATGTAATGTATGAATATAATATACAAGTTTCACTTTTTAAATGGAATTACTGAAATCAATCTACTTTTTCATGATATTCTAATTTTATGACCAGCACCTGTAGCAATAGGTGGGGCAGGGGCAGAGCTTTAAAAACTGGGTACAATGGTACTTTGGTATGTCTTGGAAATAAGTTTATTTTGTGTGCATGATGGGAGTTTTGTATTTTATTTATTTTAATTTTGGTACTGAAAGGTTGCCATGCCTACTATGGCCTATTCCCATGGCTAAAGATTTTGGAGGTTGAAAAGGAACATAACCTGGAAAAATATAATGTCGATCTGACATTAGTTTTATTTTTATCAAAACAGTAAATATGCCATTACAGGGTTTAACATTGTACAGTCAGGGTATGCAGTAGGGCTGAAACAATTAATCAGATTAATTGATTATTGAAATAATAGTCAACTATTTTAGTAATTAAGCGTTAACTTGAGTGTAGATAGATTTAGCTGATAGAGAAACCCACTTAGAGCAGCAATTATATATTTTTTTGCAATTTTGACATAATTTTGGACTTGACAAAAAACTTTTCTGCCAATCTCCTCTATCCAGAACTCCTCAAGTAGAAAAGTTTTCACCCATTTTAATTTCTTTAAAAAATCTTTAAGGAACCTTTGTCGACCGATTAGTAATCCAAAAAATAATCGACAGATTAATCGATAGATCCAGCCCTACTATGCAGATTGATTGGTTTAGCTTTAGTAGTGCTGGTAAATACAGTTTTATTTATAAGGTTTAACATTAAAAACTTTCCTTTCAAGGTTTTGCGTTGTCCCACGGCTGCTTTTATCCTTCACTATTGTTCTCGGTTTGTTTGTTATAGTTGAAAATGACGTTAATATATGTAGATGAGAGGAATGTTCTAGGAAATCAGCTTTGGGTAACATAAACACAATACACCTTTAGTGTCAGCGATTACATCGGCCTAATATTCACCATTAACTGCCTGATCTAATGCTTAACCAGCCTGTACTGATTTCCCTGCTCCAAGCTGTTGATGACATTGTTTTTTATCCTTCAGGAGGAGTCTGTAGAGGCGGCGTGCAGTGAAAGGAATGGGGTTGCAAAGTGGCTGTGCCCCCTGTGCCAACAAGGGCAGTCTGACCGATCTTCCTTGTCTCTACATCTCACTGAGCAACACAGCGTACTTCCATCGTGTGTGGAAAGACTGCTGGACATTGTAAGTTTGGTATGTGTCTGTTCCTATGTTACATCACACATAAATTCAGGGTTCTTTCTAACAAGCACTTTTTTCCTAATCGCATTGATAACTAAATAAGAAGTAAAAAGAAAATGATCTGTAAAATTTTTGTTATTCAGGTTAAGTGCAAAAGGTGTGGGTCTTTACCAGTTTTAAAATGAGCTACACCCTTATGTGAAATATATATATTTTTTAAAACACTCTACTGAGCGCAATTTTTAGTTATTAAAAGAAAACCTTTAGTTATTAAAAAAATAGATAAAGTTTAGAAAAAGAAAATGAATCTCTCAGCTCTTGCGGAGAAAAGTTTCAGTCTGGTGGAGCTAATTAAAGCACTAATTAGCTTATCATCAGCATGCCAGAAAAAAAGCAGAATGTTTAGCAGTTTCAGGGCTCGGGATGTTCAGGTGTCTATTTACACTAGGGCTGCAACTAACGGTTAATTTGCAAAGCGATTATTCTGTCGATTATTTTTTTTCAATTGATCTAATAATAATCGGATAGTTAAAGGTTCCTTAAAGACAACTTTTTACCAAATGAAACCAGGTGAAACTCAAACTTTTCCGGTTGAGGAGTTCTGAATAGAGCATTTTGACAGACGAAAATACATATTTTTTTAATATTAAATTTAAAACATTTGTATTTTTCTTTTTTCTTTTTCGTTCTTGGTATAATTAATGCTCTAAGGCGGTCGTTCTGTCAGCTACAGACATGCTTTAGAGTCTTTTTGCTCCAGTTAACGACTAATTGATTACTAAATTAGTCAACGATTATTCCAATAATTGAATTATCCCGATTAATCTGATTGTTTCAGCCCTAATTTACACAATACCAAGCTTTACAGCTAAGCAATATGGCTTTGAAATCTAACCTCCATTTCTATTTTGTTTCCTCCCAAACTTGATTAATTGACTAACCTTTTATTTCTTTATAAACAAAAGAAAATGATGTACTTGTATCCTTGTGAAACAGTCAAACTAAAGCCTCTTTAGCAGTTGGTGGGTTTTTCAAACAAGGGTCACCCGCTAACAGTTGGCGTTTGCTTCTCTTCCCATTGGCAATAAAAAGCTGTCAGACCCCCCGCTGGCAAGATACCTGGCCTCAATTGCCCCACTGTCATGTCTCTGGTGACGCCATCATGCTGGGTTAGCGTTGATGATGTCACCAGTGCAACAGTAATCAGAAAACGATGGAATTAACATGAAAGTTAGCCGATGTGCTTTATTACTTTGCACTTCGTCCGAATCCCTCTTACCGGTGCTTACTTTACTCTTGGCTTGTTAGATCAGACGTAAGTGGTGCGGTGTGTTAATTTAAGGTCTACAACTAGCGATGATTTTGCAAATCGATTAATCTGGCGATTATTTTTTTCGACTAATAATGGAAAAAAGGAAGATTTTTTTACAAATATTTCTAGGTGAAACTAAAACTTTTCCACTTGAGATCTAGATAGAGTATTTTGACGGATGAAAAAGTTGTTTTTTTTATTATTTTTTTTATCTTGAATGCAAAATGTTTACTTTTAATTTTTTATATAATTACTGCTCCAAGTGGGCCGCTCTGTCAGCTAAAGACATGTTTTACAGTCTCTATACTACAGTTAAAGAGTAATTGATACTAAATTAGTTGACAATTATTTAAATAATCGATCAATCTGATTGTTTCAGGTCTTGTTGATTTCCGTACGTTGCGCTCATGGTATCATGTTAATTAGCAGGTCGACCTGGGTCTGCTCTTCTTACTGTATGTCGATCGGAGCTGAGCCATTTGAAGGCGATTTTAACCTGTTTGCGGTTCAATGTGCTGTTCCCACTGCCACTAAAAGCTGATTGTTCCCGGGTTTAAACAGGTTTTTCGGCCAATGGAAAAGGGATATAAATGTTTCTAGCTGGTGCTTATCACACAGTGAGCTTGTTTATCCATTATTAGTAAATGTATAAAAACAAACAGTGATGAACTAATGTCACTCTGAGCTATGGAAGCCCAACGAGTACCTTGGAGGAAAAAAATTCAGATTTCCTAAATATGTGATTAAATAACATAAAATTGATAAACTGAAATACAAATAATCAGTAAAATATTGAATCTTAAGGAAGATATTTAGACTATTTCTAAACAACTTACACATCCTAATTCCACAGCAACAGATTATTCACAAGTGATACAAAACTTAAAACTGTTGTTAATCTTTTCAGGGTTGAATGTTTCTGCAATTTCACCCAAACTCAGACTGTGCAATGGAAAACCCCAAAAAGCTCCACCCCCCAGCCTCACCAGGCCTCAGTTAGCATGTTAAAGTTCATGACGATGCAATCAGGGAAAAGCTGAACCAGTAGAATCTGTCTGGGAGCCTCCTCTCACTAAAGGGATATGGCAAACATTTCAACCATGAGCCCTCTGGTAAAATTGGTTTGGAAAAATGACACTAAAGTCTAGATGCGCTATGCCAGATTTGGGGAAAGAAACAAGTCATATTCCAGAAAGCGGCTCATACCAACTATTAGTCATGTGGTGGAAGAGATGATTAAATATCTTAATTTTAGGATCATTTTTATTTTTTTTGTGGGTTACTTTAAATCTTAGAGCCAAGAGATGGGCAGAGAGGAAATAGATTTACATTTTATAGATGTAAATTCTCCCCCATTTGCTTTAGCAATTACAAAGATTTTTTTACCATGTTTTAAATGCGTAGTTATCATAATCCAGTATTTTTATCCTTTTTAAAATTTCAAGAACATGGAAAGTAACTGCTAAATACTTCTTTTATTTAACATAAATCTTTTTGAGGTAATACCATTAAAAAGCCCTTTCTCTCATTGACAGTAGTGACATTTTTATCTATCTTTTTTGGCTACTTAAGAACTGCTTCTTCGTGATTTATTACTTTTTAACTTATTCTTTAGATACAGTTGCAAAGAGGAAAAGGTTATTAATGCAAATTGACTTAAAATAGTAATAGGGTTGCAGGTTTCGATGTGTACATAATGTTTGATAATGGAACAACAAAGTTTCCAAATTTGAAGCGTCTGAGCGCCATGCTGGGAAAATGTTGCACCTCAATGAGCTGAAACCCTTCAAGAGAAACTTTTATAGCACAGCGTTGGAAGACAGAGTGAGTTAGTATTGTTGCTTCTATTAAAGACGGCTCATGCTCTCAGGGTAATTTGCAAATTAAAGACTAGCCAGGCTTGCTATGTGTAATATAACCACACTTGCTTGAGTCACGCCCAAATGTGCTACATAATGACATTCGGCTCATCTGGCAGGAGCTGTTTCACATTCAAGTTTGCGACCAGAATACATCTGAATGACTCCTTCTGTTTTTCCAGGCTGTTTTAAAACGGGCTGCCAGTGGAGAAGAGTGCAAAGGGGTTCCACAGCCCACAGGTAAATGCTATGAATGTTAACAATTAAAATAAACAAATACATGTTGACATAAAGCTAAGCTAATAATTATGCATATGTAGTGTTGTGGAAAAGTATAGCAGCAGATAATCTTAACTGACCAATGTGGAAAAATCTCCTGAACATAATACCTGGTTGTTTTTGTCCTCGGTCTGTTTAAGCTGACTCCCTTTGAAAAGATCCTAGTGCATCAGATATAAGTTAAGACTTTGACTAGAACACTTCAAATCGTTCCATTCTGCACTTTAACTTGAGGTGTCTCTTTCTAGCTCTAATCCCTCTGTTTTACTTTACCACCGTAATGTTTTACTGTAGCCAAGCTCGGACTGGGAACGGTGTGTCAGCATTCACTGCCAGTCTAGGTGGCATGTGGACAATGAAATGGAATAATGTAAACGTATGCAAAACCCCATCATGCACTGCAACATATTTTTGCTAAATATTCCAACATAAATTCGCCAAATATAAGAGGAGCATCATAGTTTGTTGTAAAGAAAGCATTTCAGTTTTATTATTATTTAGTTTGTTGCAAGGGTTTTACAGTAAGAAGAAATAGAAAATGACACCATATGCTGACGGTCACAAGGATGTGCATGACAAGGAAGGGCTATATATATACTGCATGCTTCATTTAGGCAGTTAACATTGTTTTACTGCTTGAGGTCCTTGAGTTATTTACTGTCACAGGTAGGAGCTTCAGCCGGAGCGTAAGTGTTGGGGCCGGTATGATTTAAGTAGGGCCGGCCCCCGCATGCTGAAAGTAGGACCGTCCCACTGGGTAAATGCCCGGCATCACAGATTACCAGTCCGAGCCTGCTGTAGCGTCACACCAGTAAACAGGAAGCACACCTCCAAAACTAAATCACTACCTTTGTCTTATTGGCCTGAAGAATATGTTCCCATAGATCTTAGATCATATGGATCCGTTTTTCCTTTTTTTTCATTTCATTGAAGCAAGAGACAACAGTTTATTGATTTTTGGATTTGGATGCCTTTTTTTTTTCTTTTTTTTTTTCCTTTTTTTGTTAATTTCCCCAATCCCTTTCTTATCATTAAATGATGAACCCTGGACTTTATTAAGTCAAATGAGTCTAACAGAGCTTTGGATGATGATCTGACCTCTTTTATGATGTTCCATATCAGTCGTATTTGCACTCTTGGGGTAATACTTCTGGGAATGTTCCCTGCCAGGCTTTTAGTTAGGAACATTTCATAGGGTACACACCTTGGTGTATCACATCTTTAGGCTTTTGCACAGTGTAGGGGGGGTTAAGGGGTATCCTCCCACATAAATCTTTGAAATTTAGACTCTGAAACACTATTTGCTGCATTTTGGTGGAATGCAGCTACATTTTTTTTATCTTTGTTATAGAAAGTATGTGTGCTTGACTAGAGACATTTCATAAGGAATACATGAGATCAATTTTAGGTATATTATGTTTCATAGGTAATTCAAAGACTCAGAAAATGTAATGAAAGTTCACACCATGATTTGAGCAGCAAAACAGCACCTGCTGCTTTATTCTTGATGCTTGTACGCAGGTCAAGTAAAGTGTTGACAGTTGCGGCTAATGCTTGTACTCAGGCTGATTTACCACTATGCAAAACTAAGCAGTTTCCTAGCGCCCCAAGTTCCTGGGAGCCCCATAAATATCCTTTTACATGCATGGTTAATACAGATTTGACTTATTTGTGCACATTATGTTTTTGATAAAAATCCTTTCATTGATATGCTATCAGAATGCTTATAATATAAGTGTGTCTCAGGGCCCCCCTTCAGTGTCCACCACATTGGATCAGTCTATTTGCTGTGCGTGTGCAGAAAGGTCCAAACAAACGGCAGCAAATTATTTTAAAACAAATGGCGGGAAGAGCAGCGATTCCTCTTTTTCTTCTTCCTCTCAGATGTAAACACAGAAGCATGGTGGGGGTGCAGGTGAAAGGAAGTTCTTTCTGTAAAATTGGCAGACCGTAGTAGTCACGTTTGTTCAGCCATATCTTTGTGCAAATGCACCTTTTCTTTTTAGGGCTTTCAGCAAAAAAAAAAATAGCACAAATTGCCAAGGCATTTTCCTCTTCTACTTGTTTGGCGTCTGGATAGACGAGTCGGAGTAGCTCCATCTCAACGCGGAGCTGAGTCAGACGTGGTTTTTAGACATACAGAGTGAGCAGGAAGATCGCATCAGAGTGTCGGGCTGAACAAATATCGTTAGCTGTAAACTCACACAGTACGACGAAACCCAGCGGTTTCCTGCGGTGTTTAGTGATTGTGTTTTTAGTGATTAAAAAAATCTTTGATTCCTTTTGAGACGGCATGAAAAGTCAGCTGAGCACATTGCCAATATCAAAAGAAAAAGGGACAAAAGAAATTATGGAGAGGAAAGCAGAGGGGGACAAAATGTATAACAAATAATATAAGTCTATTCTATAAAAATTTCTGTATCTGTATAATAGGTCTGTTTAATGTCTTGTCTGAATTCAGAGGGCCCCTGTCTGTCCAGGGCCCCAAATTTCCTAAATCTGCCCCTGCTTGAGCTGCTCCTGTGTTCAGTGTCAGAGTGTCTTTACTATAGTGACAGTGATGAGCTGATAAAAAGTAGCTTGAATATATTTTTAAGCGAGAAAGTCCAAATTACGATCCTGCATTAAAATATTATTTCCCTGTTGCAGACGCCAGTTCCCAGATCAGCTTCTCTGATTGGTTGATATGGTTGAGCAAAAAGAATAAAATTTTACCCATTCCAGCATCTGCTGCTTGTGAAATGTTGAACATTTGAGCGAAGTTTTCAGTGGAAAATTAGGGTATACCGAGGCTATACATCCCAAAAACAGGGCGTACAATTTGTCATTTTATGTAAAGGGCGCACAATGTACGCCCATATGCATTGCTAGCTAAAAGTGTGTTTCCCACTGTCCCTTATTCATCCACTAGTGGGTAAATGTCTTCATTGAAGTCAAAATTGCCTTTGAGTCAGTGAGTTGATGCAATCAGCTGGTTTTCCTTAGATAGAAAACTTTAAATCAATTTGACTGAATGATCTGGTTGAAATGTAAATTCCCTTGAGAGTGTGATGTGAATTGGCGTTATATAAATAAACTGAATTGAATTTCTAGACTGAGTGACTTCTTGATGCCCAGTTGTTTTAAGCATGAGCTTTTGTGTCCCCTTTTCTGCTTTACGTTGTCATTCAGGTTTTATTTGATCAGTATTTTGACATAAGTTTACATTCAGATTGGTCTGAACCCCACCCCCCTTCTATCTTTTTCAGTAATTTAAATCATTGCTATACATTTTTTTTTATAACTTAGGCTGACAGAACTTAAGTGGAACAAAGGGGTAAAAAAACATAAGAAGTCTCTATGGAATATTTATGTTACTAAAGGAAAATATATGCGAAGATTAATATAGAATTTAAAACTGTAATACAAAGAAATTAAGGTTTTTTTTTTTTTCTTTTCCAGATGCTGAATTTTCACAACTGATGTCCACTGCAGAGACCCATTCAGATCCCTGCCAATCTGCAGAGTGTTCAGACACTAGCCAGACACTTGGAGACAAAGAGATGGAGGAAGAGAGATTAATGGAACAGGAGGGAGGTGAAGCCGAGGAGGGAAACCTACTCCCAGAAGCCAAACTACATAGTGCAATTGAAAACTCTGAATCACCAGGCACAAGTGAAAAGTCGGTGGGTAAAAACGGTGTGCCAGCTGAAAAAAGCACCAGGTCGTTTAAATGCAGTGCCTGCCTGGAAAGTTTCCCCAATAGGACTGCCTTGAGCGTTCATTATACGTCTGCATCCCACATTAAGAGGATGACGACGGGCAGCGAAGCCTGTGCCCAGTCTCCCTCAGCTGCAAGTCTGCCTCGGCCGTATATATCCAACAAGCCCTACCAGTGTGCTGTGTGTCGGGTCTCCTACAATCACTCCATCACCCTTGAGAGCCATATGAAATCTGTTCTGCACCAGACCCGGAGTAGAAACGCTGGCATTGTTTCAAACGGTGCAGTAACCGCAGCTGGTTTGAGAGGTAGCGGCGCTAGCGCTCCAAACCCTGCAGTCTCAACCTCTGAGAGCAAAGGCAGCTCTCTGGGGACCTCCAGCAACTGTGCAGCGCCTGGGACAGTGATGAGTGGCGCAAAAGATGGAGAACAGATTACAGGTCCACAAGTGGCGCCCTCCCTCCTTACTGCCCCGGTGGCCTCGGCTCAAGCGGTCTCCGCCTTTCTCACCCTGCTCACATCCGCCCCCAGCCCCCTGTCGCATTCCATCCTCCCGTCCCTGTTTGCTGCAGGTGCAGCTCCTGGTGCCGCTGCTCCTCAGCTCATGCCTCAGCCTCACATGGTCATGCCTCTCATCTTAAATGGGCTCCAGGCCCAAACTCAGCAGCATCAAGAGAACCAGCAAGGTCAGCTCCTTACCCAGTGCGTCCCATTCGTAGGCCTCACCCCAGCCCAGCAGGCCCTTCTAACCCAAAGACTGAACAGCTTGCAGAACCAGTGGCCCTCGTCAGTTGTTCCTGCTCACATGCAGCCCTCTCAGGAAGAGCAAGGCCAAGAGAGGCAGAGCGGCGACAAAAAATGCTCAGATCAGATCAAGAACGGAGACAGCGGTACTTTAGAGAATGCGAAGGGAGAGGGACCTGAAGGAGAAAATGTTGAGGGATCCGCAGAGGGTGCAGATAAAGAAGCCCAAGAGAAGAGCATCGCTGATGAGAATGGCGTGAAAGAACATCAGCATAGCAGAACAGATGGAAACTGCTCTACAGATCAGCCTGGCTTGAAAGGTGATGAGGAAGCTTGCCTGAAGCATTCCCCGGCAGGCTCAGGCAAGGACCTCCGCATTAGTTTGTCGCCTTTAGCATCTGTGACCAGCAATTCCAGCCTCAGTCCCATGAACTTAAATCTTACACTTAGCCCTGATTCCACCCCTCAAAAGTCTCAGTCAGGCACTACCCCCTGTGCCTCATCTAAGTCCAGCCCTAAAAGAAACGACTTAACCTGCAAACCTGCTCTTCACTGTAACGCTGTAGAAATCAATCATTTGGACCTTCCTGTACTATCAGAGTTCCAGTCTGAGGTTCTCTGGGCATTCTTTGAGTCCCGTACCGAAGCGGATGCTGCGAGTCCTCCCTGCGAGGACTGCGAAGCACTAGGTAGAGAGGTGGGGCTTTCAGAGGAGGAGGTCCGGAGGTGGTTGAGCCATGCCCGCCATACAAAGCAGAGACGGCGTGCAGAGCTGAAACAAGCAGAGGGGTTTGCGAGACACAGTCAAGGGTCTGACGATGACTATGATGATGAGGAAAACTCCCTGATAATCGCAGAGGGTGATGATGACGCTGAGGCTACAAGCAGTCAGGTCATGGATTTGTCCGGCAACAGAGGGAAGCGCACCAGGAAGGCGGGAAGGGAAGGCCGCGGGGAATCCGGTCTTACGTCCGACTCAGAAGCCGAAGTTTACACTTCAGTCATCGTTTCTGATGAGGAGAGCCAAAACGAATCGCTGCGGGAAGGTGCTGAGAGTCCTGCTAAAGAAGAAGCACAGCGAGAGGTACACGGCGACAAGGGCACAGCTGGAGGGAAAGTACTGCGCTCTACCACAGTCTTTCTCTCTGATGCGGAGGACGAGTATGAGGATGATGAGGCTGGAGGAGCTCAGAGGGCTAAGAAGAAAAAGCGCAAAGGGGATTTTGAGCGGGAGGAGGTTGAGGCAAAGAAAGACAGACAGGACCCAGATTTGGATCTTGAATTGGAAGCTCAAGGAGATCCTCCAAGTTCGCAACCTGCGGGGATTGACCACTCTGCTGCTCTACACTCTCTCCCTTTGTCCATTGCTCCTTTTTCTACACAGCTCCTTAGCCCTTATGTTCTATCTCTCTCTCCTTCGATGGCAGGCAATGGAAACAAAATCTCACTCTTTCCTAATCCCCCAACCATTAGCCGCTTCCCAGGCTCGTTACTCTCTCAGACTCTCTCCTCCCACCAAACGTCTCACTACCTGTCCAACGGGGACGACTGCGAGTCTGCGCTGGATCTCAGCATGGGGAAAAACAACTCCAAATATGCGTCTTCCTCCTCGTCTCCCGCCGATAGATTGTCTGTGCAGAAGGGACAGCTGCTGGACGGGCTTGGCCTCCGGCCCACGTCCAAAGGCCTGGTGGTGGTCCAGGTTAAACAAGAGCCCGGTACCGTTGTGCCGCCGTCCAATAGCCCGATAAACCTTGTGAACTGCAGCAACATGTCAAAGTCTCACCTCTACATGAGAGCAGACGACACATCAAAGATGGACAGAGAGAAGGAGTCGGAGCTTCCTGAGAGGAAGTCCAAAGGCAAACGGTACCGGGACATGCGGCGCTCAAGGACCATCATTCAAGCCGAACAGCTCGACATATTATACGGCTGCTACTTTAAAGACCCAAACCCTGGGAAGCATGAGTTTGAACAGATTTCAGAGTGGGTCCATCTTCCAAAGAAGGTTGTTCAGATCTGGTTCCAGAACATGAGGGCAAGGGAAAGGAAAGGTGAGGTGCGGTTCATCAGCGATGGCACCCTGGCTGCTGTCGGAAAACCTCTTATCAAGTTCACCTGGCCTCTTTCCAAACCCATATTTTCTCATAAGGCTGCTACCAATAACTCTGGGGGCATCACCGCTACCCCAATTGTCCGGACTCTGATAAAGACGGAGAAAGAGCCGGAGAAGGAGCTGGCAAAGGCAACTTTAGTGAAGAAGGTGATCCCTGTTCCCATCAAGCCCAAGGACGTAGCTTCCCCCACTGCAGGGTCCCCTGTGAGCAGCAGCGTTACTGCAGTGCCAAAGATCAAGCTGGAAGCCAGCAGCAATGTCAGTATGGTGAAAGTCTTGCCCAAAGCCCCTACCCCTGTCCTCTTATCCCCACCCAGGGAGCCGGTTCCCATCGCCCCACGGCCTCTTCAAAAACAGCAAGAGGAGAGCGATGACGAAAAAACCGACGAGGAAAAAGAGGACGAAAATGAAACGATGATCAGACCGGGGATGGCTAACCGCATGGTGCCGAAGCTGGCCACGACTCCCATCAACAACCGGCCTCCAGCCTCCACTCTAGTGCCACAAAAGCAAAATGGACTCAATTACTGGACCCCAAAAGTCCCAATTAAAATCAATACGCTGTCTAGAGAACAACTGGCACTTCCCTCACACACGCCGCCCCGCACCATCCCCCCTCCTCCCACCCCCAGCATCGCACCGGTCAGCCCAAACTTATCCGGCTCCGCAAAGGCGGCCAGCCCCTCCACTCCCATCATGGCCAAGTCCAGCCCCACAGAAAACATGATTCTGTCACCTTCATCCAGCCGCAGGCCACGCACCCACCTGTCCTGTCTGCAGCTGGCCATCTTACAGTCGTGTTACGAAACCTGCGCCCACCCCAACGCCATGGAGTGCGAGGCGATCGGCACAGAGCTCAACCTGCCGCTCAAGGTGGTGCAGATCTGGTTTCAGAATACCAGAGCCAAGGAGAAGCGATGGAGACTGCAGCAAGAGAAAATGGTACGTTACCAACTAGACGCATTTATTCTGGCTTGTTACTTTATTGTAAAATAAAGTAGTTCTTTTAGGGAGAAACTTTACTATTCTGGTCAGAACATAAAACATTTATCGGGCCCATTTGGAAGATTGGGAAAATGAAGGTCAGAGATAAATATGCCCTATTTACAAGTTTCTTTTTTCCCCCATTTTGTCAAACTCATTAGACGGAGATTACTTCATATAAATTTTTGAATTTAATTTATTGCTGTGGCGAAATGCTAATCAAATATAGCTGGTCCAATGTGGGATCCCAGACAGCTAAAATCAGGTTGGGCCACCGGTGTCAGTGATAACCGTGACTGTAAGGAGGGAATCTGGTCTTTGCTGAACTGTTTTCATTCTGCTGCATTAAGGAGTTTTTGAGCATAAACAACCGTTAAAGGTCACATCACAGCACTTCAGGAAAGTTAGACTGGTGTTTGAAGTCACTCCAAAAGTAGAAGGGACTTGATTAGAGATAGACTAAGTGGATGAATAAATAAAGTGTTGGCTGGACCTTCACCTTCAAGATGAGTAGAAAGTATAGTTCCATCAGATTAGGTAGAGCCTATCTATCCACCAGCCTATCGTCTCCGCCACATTTGCCTCTCAGCACGATCTGGGTTGTTCTTTTAATCTGTGGCTTTGCCCAGTAACAGTCTCTCATTTAATTGAATTGTTAACAGGGAATGTTTACCACTGCACCATGAGAACTTGATTTGTGGGTAATGGTTGTAACTGTGGTTTGCTGCAGCCCTGAAGCTTTACAAATAGCCTTATAATCTCATCCAGACTGTTGGATGCAGTATAACTAGTTTTGGCCTACTTCTGTGGTTAGACAGGTTTGGTTTCACTGATCTAATGAATCTACAGGTTGGGTAATGAGGCCTGGGTGGGTCTTAAATTAACCTGCTTTCCAAAACCAAGAGGGCCAGTTAAATGTTCATATGATACATTTTGGATATTTATTTTTCCTTCATAAACAAAACTGTTATTCTACCTTTTTTATATAGATACATTTCTGTTTGAGGTTTTCAGAATGTTTAATGTTTCCCTGCCTTATTATTTTAAACATGTATACAGATATCACTGGTGGTGCTTTTAAACAAATCTGGATGTTGAACTTCAAGTAGCTCCAACCTGTGGATTATAAATGTTTATAGTTGAGAGGAAAATGATGATCTGAGTCCGTAAAAAACAAATATTAGGAACTCTTATGATTGTTTCCCATCTCCGTTTACCTTCCCTAGTATCCCCTGTCGGATGGGAAGGTGGACACCAGCTCCGGAAGCTACCTTCACTACAGCGCCCTGAAAGCCAACCGGCCCATCCTGCCCAAACCCGTTCAGCTGACCATCACCGAACCCACGGCCTCTCCGGCGCCGGGCCAGCCGGCTCCAAAGGAGACCCTGACGGGCCACTGCGACGCCTGCAACGTGTCCTTCGAGTCGCGGGCTGCCGCCAGGGCCCACGTCTTCTCCCCACGCCATCTGGCCACTTTGAGAACCACTAACTTTGGCCAGCCAACGGCTCTGGTCAACAAGAACAGCTCGCAGGTTTCTGCGTCCGCTCCCGTGACCAGCCCAGCAGCCGAGGGGGAGATAGTCATCGAGCTGCCCCCCTCCTCAGCCACCAGCAACAGTTAGAGACTCAGATCAGGAATGGTCTGCACATTGACAATTGTTGGAGCCATTTGGGCTCCTCAGATTTTATTACACATATGAGCACTAACCCTCTAAAGGTAATCTTTCGCTACAACACCCCCCCCCTGCTACTCTATGCTCGACCGTCACTCAGCCTGATGACATAAACTGAGCAGACTCCACCCATGCTGCTTGTCACTTTTATCAGCTGATTCTGATGAGCGTGATGACCCTACAAAGTTCTCCTCCACCTTATCACACTTACCGCAACAATTTTTCACCCCCAAAAATCATACTGACTAACTTCCTATAATTTGTAAAGGCACTCAAATCGCAAAGCTTGACACGTTCTGTCCTACAGACTGAGGCAAGTGTTCCTGCTTTTTGGCAGCGGCCACACATCGCCCAGAAATACTGTTTTTGGGATGAGAACATGAAACACACAAATAACTGGCTGTTAGTTTTTGTTTTGTTTTGTTTCTTTTTTTTCCCTCCTCCTCTCACTTCCTGGGCAAAGCTTCTTATGATATGAGACTGAGCTGAGCTGTTGGGAGATGAGGACAACCTGGTAATAACCAGCTTTTTGGTTGCTTCAGGAGTGCTTTCTCTTTCATTTGGGATATAACAGAGGTACTATGGAAAGAGTAGGGCTTGTAAAGGTGTCTGCAATTACATCATAGTTTCATGACAATCTTAAAAATGGCTAAAAAAAAAGGGTTTTAAGAAAATAGAATCCGTGGCATACCGCACTTTGACATTTAACATTGAGATGTTTTTAAAGCATTCTGATGCAGGTGTCTTTTTATGGGAAGATAAATTGATGCATGTTGGATGCCTTAATATAAATCACATTAGATTTTTTTTTTCTTTTTGGCTAATCAACTGTAACATGCTTGAGGTGTGAGCCCAATTATTATAAAAATTAAAAATGATTTGGATGCATCATTGAAGAGCTTTTTTTTTTTACACCCATTCCCAGGGAGCCGTCTCTGAATGTCGTCATCGATGTTCAATCCCGTTAAGTAAACCTGACGGCATTTTCATGGCCAAGAATCTTAATTTATTTTTAGTTTTTTTTTTCCTCTCATGAAATTCTCTAGTTTCTGTGAATTTTAAATCCTCCCCTATGTTTGTGTGTCATTATTTTTCGGAATGTGGCTCCTCAGACTTGCTTGGGAAATCTAAATATTTGACACCCTCCTCCTGGTGCGTTAAATCATGGCAGCCTTAAAAGGAAATCCCAAAAGGAGGTCTTTGTAAATTGATTTAATCTCTATTTGGCACTAAGACTCGGACTGATTTCCCAATATTTCTTTTTTTTTTTTATACTGTAAGGGTTGCTTTTTTTTGTACTCATTTTATTCACTTGTGTGTTTGTAAAACGACGGGAAGCAATTACAACTGGTAAATGTTTTTATCTAGGTCAAAAGCCAATCCAGTCAGATTGAGAAAGCAGGCATGTTTCCCCCCTCCCTCCCTTTTCATTGGGGTTTCAAAGCAGTAAATGACTCCGGTCATGTATGTGCTGTTAGATGGGATGTTAAAACTCTTGAAACCACACCAAGGGAGACACTGGGGTATTATTAGTATCATCCAGTGGCTGATGGGTACTCTAATCTAAGCAAGTAAATTAGGAAGCAGAAAACGTGTTCACTGAGAGCTAAATAAGATGGTGCTGTGTTGAAGGACACAAACTAAAGATGTTTTCCTTCGGTTTAAGCTGTATATTAATGTTACTATTAATAGTTTTAACAAAATGCAAAACTAAAACATGATCTTTTGTAAAGAAATATATAAAAAAAAATTAACTGATATTCCAAAGTAATCCTCACTTTGCTTTCTGTCATTCAGAAACCAAAAAGCAATCTTTAGGTCGACAGAGAGCAAGAGAGGTCCTAATGCAAACTGTAAGAAGAAGAAAAAAAAAAAAAAAGACATCCCAGACTTGACACTTGCACTAGTCCACCATTTTTGCACAAGCTACAGAGATCCGGGATGAACACGGCCATCACTGCGACGTTTAAAGTGGCAAAACAAAGATGGGATCGATGTCCTTTTGAACCAAGAGTAATAATTTGTACTTGTGTTGGAAACTGTATCTTGTGTGTACGGCAAGGACTAGGGAGCTCGAACCTCAAGCCTGGGATTACACACACACACACACAGACACGGTATTGCACTGTCCAAACTAGATAATGTTTTTATGGAGATCTGCTTTATATTCCCTTATGTTTCATGGTCACTTTTGATTATCACTATTGTTATAACTGTACTACTACTTATACAATTTATTATTACTCCTCATCACTGTTTTTTTTTTATTCTTCTTGATTCATAATGGTTTTAAATGCCACTGCTCTGCTCAGAAGGAGTATGGTATTCCTATGAATATTGAACAATAATAGTGGCAGTGTTGTTAATTGTTAGATTTATAATTAAGCTTAATTTTCCTCCTCACTTGTACCTGCCTTTGTGTTTGGTCTCCATTATGCTTTCTTTGTTATACAGAAAAACAAATAAAACCAGTTGAACAACAAACAGGAGGAGGGTGGTCTGATTTTATTAAACCTGTGGAACGATGACTATATCTGAAGAGAAGTCGCTGTTTATTTGGATAAATTCTGTTTGAAAGGATCACTGTTTTTTTTTAATGTGTACATCTGTGAGATCTCAGGTTGTCTAGGTTCTGCTGAAGATCTGAATGGAAGACCTCATCAGCAGGTAACGTATTACCTTTTTTTTAGGGCAAGTAGTTTAAATGTTTGTTTAGGAAAACGATCTATGCTGACTATTTGCACAGTGCATGCCAGATATTTAAGAACTAGATAACTTAGTGGTTAAGATGAAACACCCACTGCAGAGCTTTCTATGAAATGTTTTTCTATAGTTTTATAACAGCTTTTGTATTTCCCTTCAGGTATAAAATATTTCTTATCTTGTGGGTCACAGCGGGGATTTTTTTTATTGGATACTTTCACATCTGGAGAAGAACACTTACATGCGGGTGCTGTTCCTGGACTTCAGCTTTCAACACCATCATCCCACAGCATCTGATCGGCAAACTAGAACATCTGGGCTTCAATAAACCCCTCTGCAATTGGCTGCTAGACTTCCTCACCAACAGACCTCAGTCAGTCCGGGTTGGACTGAACACCTCTGATGTCATCACCCTAAGCACAGGCTCCCCTCAGGGCTGCGTCCTGATGATATAAGACTGCGCCTCCACGTTCACCACCAATCACATTCTGAAGTTTGCAGATGACACCACCTAGGTAGGCCTCATCAGAGAACAACCAGCAGGGCTACAGAGAGGAGGTGGAGCAGCTGGTGCTGAGATAACAGCCTGATCCTGAACGTGGAGAAGACGAAGATCATCTTGGTCTTCAGGAAGAAGCGGCCTAACTACGCTCCACTGGTCAGCCGTAGAGGTGGTCAGCAGCACCAAATTCCTGGGGGTGAACATCACAGACACCCTCACCTGGACTATAAACACCACCTCACTGGTCAAAAGGGCACAAAAGCACTTGTACTTCCTGCAGAGGATGAGGAGAGCCCACCTATCCTCACCACCTTCTACAGAAGCACTATAGAGAGTGTTCTGACCAGCTGTCTCACTGTGTGGTGTGGAGGCTGCAGCGCCTCAGACTGGAAGAAGGTGAGGAGAGTGGTGAAAACTGCAGAGAAGATCATAAGGGCTCCTCTTCCCTCCATTAGACATTTAATCCCAGCGCTGCGTGTCCTGAGCCCATCACCGCTCACACCCCCACCATGGACTGTTCTCCCTGCTGCCCTCTGGGAAGAGGCTTCGCAGTTCTGTAACAGCTTTTTCCCTGCTGCCATAAGACTGTTGAAACTCTAAGCAAGTCCCAAATCGAGACTCTGCATTACACTTGAAAACATATTTGCACTACATGGCCAATTTTCCCCTCTAAAGTGAACTTATCAGCTCAGTTTTCTCATATTCTTCTTTATAAATGCAAATGTTAATTTAACTGCTGCAATCTTCTCATTCAGTTTAAAAACTATTCATTGAAATGTTGTTTTGTATACACATGGTGTATAGAAAATGACAAAGTTTCTTTCATTTAGCTCTCTTGCATTGCTCCTTTATCCACCACCTACTGGCCTAGTAGTGTAAGTTCACTAAAATAAAAAAAATTAAGGCTGTCTTTTTCTAATTTTAACCACATATGTATCAATCTTCCTACTATGTGTGAATTTTATTTCTTAAAAGAAACTTTGATATAATTAAACTGCAAAAGACCAATGTTAAAATTTGGAAAGATCAACATGATTAATCATCAGTAAAAAAAAAAAGCCTCACTTTTCTGATGTCAAAAATCATGGTTTATTTTACTTTAATCTACCTTTATTTTTATGATCACTAAATGATCTTGTATAGTTTTATTATATTCAATACAGTAGTAGACAGGATGATAAGGTCAGAATTATTTATAGTAAGCAGCTGATGATAAATAGCGCTAGAGTGTAAAGTTGGCATAGCCTTAGTGGTCAGGTGTGAGATCTTTTTTTATTTTATTTTTTTACTGACAAGAATGTTAGAATATATGTGGCTGCATTCATTTTTTTCTGTATTGATTCCAGTCAACATATAGTAGAAAACACTGAAGTATGTTCTAGTCTAAATAGTTTTCCTCTGATTGGACTTTAAGAAAAACGGGCAGTAGGAAAAACATGAGTGATGCTGCAAAAATTATATTGTATTATATAGGAAGCTGCAAGGAACCTTTTCAACTGACTGTAAAGCAAAAATACCTTATAGCGTTATGGCTTTCTGGGAAGAAGTTTTATAGGCATGAAAATGGGCATTTCAGTGTGTGTTAACGGAGCGGCAAGTTGGAAAGACATCATTCATGTCTCTAGATGTGTGAAGTTGGTAAAGACCAAATGCAAAATATTTGCAACCGTCACTGTTACATAATGCTAATGGGTTTGAATACCATGGTATGCCACACTTTTTATTTATTTTTTATTGTAAAAGCATGTATGATTATCTTTTCACTTCCCAATTACCCTGCGTTTTTATACATTATTCTCCTTTACGACTAAAATAATCACTGATCCCAACAAACTGTTGTTTATATCCCTGTCATTATTTTTTTTTTCAGCTTTTTTATGGTCATTACACCGTCAATTCAGTTTATTTATATAGCACCAATTCACAACACAAGTAATCTCAAGGCACTTTACAGTTCAACCAGATCAAACAGTCAAATTGATTCAAAGTTTTCTATCTAAGGAAAACTGGTTGATTGCATCGACTCATTGACTCAAATGCAATCCCTTACACTAAGCGGCACTTGTAGCGACAGTGGAGAGGAAAAACTCCCTTTAACAGGAAGAAACCTCCAGCAGAACCAGGCTCAGTGTGAGTGGCCATCTGCCGAGGCTGACTGGGGTTCATGCGGCGCCCATGGAGCAGCGTGGGGTTCAGGGTTTTTGCTCAGGGACCCCAGAGGGGCAATTTTTGGGACTGGGGCCCAAACCTTTGGATTTCAAGCATAATGCCCTCACCACTAGGCTGCAACTCACCTAAATTCCAATATTATTCTAGAATCTTAAATATTCTGGAGTGTCTTGTCAGTAAATGCATATAAATCAACTTTTTACACACTTTTTTTGTCTGGGTTATCTTTAGTGGTACATTTTATCTAACTGTAAATATTCTGCTTTTATTTCCATCTGTATGCTATCATACATGCAGCCTAGCTACTCAAAATCTATGAATTATTTATGCAGCATGATAGCCATTTTATTCTTAAATATTAGAAAAAATTCAACACTTCAATGCGGTTTTATAATTTTTTTTAATAGTATTGTTTCCTATCAAAAAAAATCATTCACTAAAAACCTTAAAATGTAATAGATATAAACTTTTTGGAAGAACACAGTCTGTTCCTGTTTCCATGTACATAATTCTATAGAAAATGTCTTAATTGATTTAAAAAAGAATGACCTGGTTCAGTTAGGTCAGAGAGGGTGAGGCTGTTGATATGACTCTCAAATACTACTGGAATGTATTGGGTGAGCAGCTGGCTTAAGTTATTTGGTAACGGATAGCAGTCTGATTGACAGGTATCTAATCCAATCAAATGCGTACGACGCCATTCGCGGACCGGAAAGCCCCCGCGCCATTGTCCAATGAGCACACGGCAGATACTGAAACGGTTGGTTACGAACGCTCTTTAGCCCAATAGAATCACGAGATTTACGCCCGCAGTGATAAATGACTCCGCCCATTGCCTTCCATTTCTGAACTGAGGAGACACCGCCGCGTTCGCGTACCGTCCGTACCAGTTTTTTTTATATACATGTTTAAGTGAGAAAAATAACTCGGTTCAGTGTCGTAGGTTTTGCGGAATTGCCTTAATATAGCGGAAGAAGCGGAACACTTTAAGTGTCGCGGTACGCTGTTCGAGTTCTAGCTAAAGCTAGCTTTTATTTCATATTTTAACTTTACAAAGCGGCGTTTTCCGCCGTTTTTTTTTTTTTCCTTCTCGCCGCCCCGCTCACTCTACCCCCTTGTGTGTGAGTGGGGGCCTGCAACGTCGGTTTAGCCACGAGGCGCGTCGGTTGTGTCGGATTAGAGCGATGGCAGAGTTCGGCAACGGACTAGCAGATGAATCTCTACTAGATTCAGATCCCGGACATCCCGAACTGGAGGACCCAGGTGTCGGCGACGAAGATCCGGGATTAGAAGAGGGAGAGGCCGCCATTGAAGACCCGGTGAGTAAAGGGTATTGTTCCACGAGTGAAAATCGCCTCTAGTAACTAGACGCGTCAATACAACATAGACACTGATATGAATGAAATGTAAAATATAGGAATACAGTTATTCTCTCTCCCTCCCCCCTCCTCCTCAACAAATCATGGGTCACATGCCGTTCTGTAATGCTACCTCGGTATCAACTGCCATTGTGGTTCTTTCAGTGCAGCAGTACTGGGTGGTGACATGCGTGGTGTCCGCGGCCATCTTGGCGCAAGAGCAACGCCAGTTTCTCTGCGCTAGAGAGAGCAGCCCTAGCCGGTTGGGGGTGGGGGGTTTGAAAAAAAAAAATGCAGGACGGAGATGCGGGACACTGTTGGGGCGAGCACCGGACAGGCCGCAGCCGTTAGCTGTCATTTTCCAGCTCCATCTCCTTTGAGAAGGCGACCGTCTTACGGTAATTTACCATATTCTATTTATTTTTTTTATTTTATTTTCGCTGCGGTGTCAGGCGTTGCTGTACGCGCGCGCCCGCGAATGACCCAGCGGCTAACGTTAGCATCGATGCTGCACCCCGAAAAGACCAGCGAACCGGCCAACCGTTATTCGGTTTCCGGATAAATCTACAGCGCGTCATGTTTGGCTGTTGGCCTTAATTATATCACGCGATAATATCAACTCTCATGAGCTCGTATCAATTAAGCGAACAATAAAGCTGGATCAGGCCGACATACTCTTTCGCCATATTTTTCGTGCCTTTTGGCCGACTGTGCGCGCGTTAACATGCATCACTGGGAGTTCAAAATGAACGCCAACAGCACAATTTCATTTACATTTGCACATGCGCATCCTATATTTTTGCATTAGTGCATTAGCATTTCCAATTATGTGATTACATGCTTGTTTTATTTTGTGCAAGGAAAAATCGTGGCTCGGAATGCAGAATAGTAAAAAGGGGGTCTGCGGTATTTAAGGGGCTGGGTTTTTTTGTTTGCTAGAGCAAGGAGATTGAATGAGCAGAGGGAGGGGAGAGAGATCTTGGCCTTTATATGCGACAAAAAATAGTTGAACCTGTCAGATGCCGGCGGATTATACATCCTGTCTTGAACGATGCTCAGGTTGTCTATAGTTTGAGATTCTGCATAAAAAATATACCAATTTTATAGCTTCATCTTGGCTGCCTTGCCTCCACTTTTTAGCCAATTATTGGAGGATCTAAATTTAAATTGGTCCAAGGGTGTTTCCAAGACCAAATGTGGAATATTTCAGGTGGAGGCAATTGCTCTGAATGATGCTGTAGCTACTCCCACTGTGCTGCAGTGCACCACTGTCAGACAGGAGGGACTGCTCACACGTGAGGGCACAGGGAAGTCTCTATTCACTGCCAATGAAGAGGATTTTACATGAAAATGTTATTGGAGAACTATATGAAGTAAAGAATGACAAATGTATGATTATTTGAGTGGTTATTTGCTGCATTTCATTGCCTTGTACCTGTGCAATTACAGTAAAGTTGAATCTAATCTATTTTGACACAGAGAGGTTTGTGCAGTTTAATGACATACCAATGTGTAAACACAATAATTGTGTCAATTCAATATTGACATGTGTTAGGTTTGCTGTGCTATATATTTACTTCTGTTTGCAGATGTCAGTTTTTTTTAAGGGGGGGTCAATTGGGATTAATTGCAATTAGCATTAAAAACTATGAAGGCTTTTTTTTTTTTTTAAATCAGCGAACATTTTCATCAGCAGGTTAAACTTAAATCTGTTGTTGGGTTTTATAGAAATCACATGAAGTTTAGGGTTATGCACTTTAATGTCGTAATGGGGGTGACTTTATTTGGATCTCCTACTGTGTATCTACACATTTTTTTTTTCATACCCTCGTATGCTTTAGCATAAAACTAAAATGTCAGGTCAGACTCTTTTATAAAACCAAAAATGGTATCCTTTAATTTGCAGTGAGAGGGGCTGCTGCATAGGGCTGTAGTCTGTTTCTACTGCAGTAAGGACTTTCAGACAAGTTTGTTTGTTTTTAGAGTTCTGATTTCGAGAGGCTGATTAGAATATTCCTGTTTCTGAAGGAACTGGAGGCAATTAAAGCTCGGGTCCGAGAGATGGAGGAAGAGGCCGAAAAGCTGAAGGAGCTACAGAACGAGGTGGAGAAACAGATGAATCTCAGCCCCCCACCAGGTATGTTCGTCTTCCCCATTATTTGTTTTTTTTTTTTTTTCTCTTGTCTTTGTTGCAGTGAGTTTTTTTTTTTATATGGGTTGCTTACTGTCTTAAATAGGGCTGGGTACCGAACTTCGGTACTTTTATGGTACCGACCGAAATGCTTCGGTTCTACAGAGTATCGAAACATGCCTCGTCTTTCGGTACCAAGTTTCGGTGATTGGCTGGAACACTTAAGGTGATTGCGTCATCCAGGAAAAATACACAGGTGGTCACGCCTACAGCCAGGGTTCATGTGTATCTTTTGTGAACTGGTTGCAGCGTCGCGGAACCCCTTTAAAATGCCGCCCAGGTCAAAAGTGCGGCTTCACTTTATTAAGACTGATGCTAATAGTGCACAATGCAATACATCGTGCACGGAAACAATTTAAGAGCAGAAAGTTGCTCTGTGTTTGACTGCAAGAAGAGCGGACCGCAGCCAGCGCGACCATCCTCCTCTCAGCAGCCCGTGGGCAGAGCAAAGCCAGAGCGGAGTGAATCATGCTGCTTTCAAACTGGACGCAGCAAGAGCAGCAAAATCTCGTCTGCTGCTTCCTTTTTGCTGCTTGTACCAGCTTCTGACGCGCTGCTGAAGAAGCTTTGCTGCTCTGGCTGCGCGGTCGCAAAGTGGGTCAGACGCGCGTTGGGCGGAGCTACTCTATCCTTTATTTGCCTTGCAGCTATATTTGCTGTGATCAGTGGGAATAAAGTAGTTTTATTATGTTTTTAAGTGGGAAAATCCACCTGAAAACGTGATCAGTGCAGTCAGTTCATCCTGCCTTCAATATTTCTGTCGGAGCCGCTCAGACCCCCCATACCAGCGGTGCGCTGTCAGTAGGATCCCATTCAACGGGCTTGTTTGTCAGACATGGTAATTTTTCTAAAGGAAAACTGCTAAGTAAAAAGGTCCTCAATGTTACAGTGAATATTAGACACTGAATTATTTATTTTTTTATGTAAGAGGAAAAATGTAAATGGAAAAACAGAGCTTAAAATAAAACTCAAGATTTGTACTTTTTTATGTTGTGTAATTTTCTTTTTTTTCGAATTGATATTATAAAACTGGTATCGAAAAAAGTATCGTTCAGGAACCGGTATCGAAGTGAAGGTATCGGTATTGGTACCGGAACCGAAATTTTTTTAACAATACCCAGCCCTAGTCTTAAAGACACTTGGGTTGATGCATTTGTTCATTAAGTTACCCAGTTCTCCTTTAAGTTGGCTGAAACTCAAGCATGTTTAAATGACAAAATGACTTGGAGTAGTGAGCCAGTAGGATTACTTCATATTTCACTGTCCACCCCGCCACCTATTCCACCTTCATGCTACTATTGGATGAAAAATAAAGTGTCAGGTTTTGTGTTTCTGCTGGGTCTCAGTGCAATAAATCCCCTCAGTTCTGCAGTTATGTTCTCACTGCAGGCAAATGCAACCTAAATACTTTGGTATACTTTGGGCCATTGGTGATCCATATTCAGCTTTTAATTTGAGTCAGTTATGTTCCTTTTCACGTTAAAAAAAATCTGAATTGTAGCGCCTCTGTGTTTTTTAAAATGTGAGCGCTCAAGCCCATTTCATCCAACTCGTTACCCTGGCTTTAGCCCCTTTCCAACTTAAAACGCATGTTTTTCAAATCTGGGTCGACCCGCTAACAATCGGCATTTGGCTGCCTTCAAACTGGCAAAAAAAGCTTGGTCTATCCCCTAGCTGAAAATCCGTGGCCTCTGTCCCCCAGCAGCTGCGTGTCCGGCGACGCCTCATGCCATTTACTGTTGATGTCACCCCTGCAACAGAAATCAGGAAAGTAAACAATGGAGAGCAGCATGTAAGAAACCCTGGGCGTAGTTCTTTTAATGTTTTTCTCTTTTATCTGTCCGAATTTCTCACCAGTGCTGCGCCAAATGTAAATGTCGTTTCGACTTGTTAGATCAGAAGCTAGTGGCGCGCTGTGCTGATGTCCATACGTTGTGCTCAGTGGTGTTGCTAATTTAGCAGGTCAACCTGGGTCTGGTGTTCCCACAGCATGCCGATAAGAGCCGAAGCGATTTTAACGCGGATCGCTTGGAAAGATCAACATGATACTAACTCCAGCAACAGCACTCATTGCTCCAACACATTAGAATCAGTTCTGCTCTCTTCTTCTCTCCCCTCTATTCGTCTTATAAGATGATCATGATGTCAGCTCCCATGGTTAAAGAGATTATAATGACACAGAGTTTCTGACACCTGTTATTACTTCTGAATATGGTTTGCTGCTGTGTGATGTCCACACTGTTCGTCTGTGCATATGGGCCCTGTTCGGGGCCATAAATGGTTCAGACTGGAGTCTGGTGGCTGCATGAAACTAGTAGTGTTAGCTGCCATGTGAGAAAATTGTTGAGTATCAAGCAGTGTGAATGTAGCTTTAGATGTTAGCACTGTGTTGTAGTGGTCCAAATATGCAACCATGTTAAACCTAAGAAAATGAAAGTTGAAACTTTCAAGCTGTTAGAATCACTGTTATTAGGTCTGCTTGACCTAATAACTTCTGGAACTTGCAGAGCCGTTTGATAGCTGTTTTTCTTCTTCAGTTCACAGATTTTTAAATTCCACTAGATATCCGACGTGTCTCTGCTTTAACCCAACTCTGTTAAATAACTGGATCATTAGTAGGATCATTCTGGGGGGCAAAATCTTCAACATTGGATTGGCAGGAGTGTAAAGTGTACATTTAACAGGGCAGGACCACCGTTATTGCAGCTTTTGAGCTAACGCAGGCTGAGTAGTAGAGCAATGTTTCTTTCTTGGGCTCTGATTGTATTTAGTTAATTGCCTATAGTCAACACATCTAATTTTGAAAGATGCATTTTATCATCAATTCTGTCATTACCACAAAAAAGATCAACAATTTATCAGCCTGAGCAATTGGAGGAGAAAAGGGGATCTAGGTTTATTCCTCCTGTTATCAGTACCAGCTTAAATAGTTAATATTGAAATCTCCTTAACAACTGGATTGTTGTTCTTGTGATGTACACAAATAAAGGGAACATTCAAATGACACGACTTAGTTTTATTTATTTTTTTTTTAAGCCTTCTGTTGTCCAAATTAACTCTCTGAGGGTCTTTTTACTCAAACTCACAGCCTCAGGATTCCAAGCTCTATGCCCTAACCACTAGGTCACCACTCCCCCTACATCTGCATTTGACCCATCCCCTTGGGGAGCAATGGGCTGCCATGGTGAGGTGCCCTGGGAGCAATGTGGGGTTAAGGGTCTTGGTCAGACTCCCAGAGTGGCAGTCTGTGAGCTTGAACTAAAAACCTCAGGGTTCCAAGCTCTACACCCTAACCACTAGGGGTGTAAATCACACCCATCATGGCGATTCGATTCAGTAGGGCTGCAACTAACGATTATTTTAAAAATCGATGAATCGGCTGATTATTTTTCCGATTAATCGATGAATCGGAAAAAAAATATTTTTTATATTAACCTCTTTATTCCAAAATAAACATTTTAGACAGAACAAACAAGCACACAAGTACAGGTTGCTCATTAACTGTACTGGTGCAATATGAAAAATAAATGTTTGTGTTAAAACTACGCAAACTTACATGACAAATGTAGCTGTACATCCACAAAATATAGGGTAGTTTGTTTCATAAAGCACAAAAAAAGACAGGCATTTTTGTTTTTTAAAGCCCCTAAGGGGTTCAAACAATAGGTCCCCCCATTTCAACAAATGAGTTTTTTTTAGACTAGAAGAGTTCTGCCTTTTAAGACAGGAAAGTATAGCAGTTAAAGTTGCTACTTGAGAAAATACTTAACCATAGAGATGAAAATAGCCCTGTGATTCAAATTATAAATTGTATTTGGAATAAAAATGAGAGAACTAGGGGTGCTAAAAAACACATCCTCCAAAGACAGATATTTACATGGAAATGTGGCATATAATTAATTGACATTACTGATCTTGCTGGATTTTATTCTGCTTTACTTCCATAAATTGCAGGATCTTCTTTATCTTTGCCAGAAGATTTAAACTTTAAAAGCCTTGCCTTCATAATTTGCAAGTAAATTTATTTATAAAGAAAACATAAACGCTGCTTAAGCTAATTCAAATGAAATTAAAAGTAAAATAAGTAGCCAACCTTATCACTGTCTGTAACCTACTAACACGGTAAGGAAAGCATCAGATGAGCTACCTGAGAAACCAACGTAACGTTTCCCCACTTTAAAACCAAACAAACATGGTTACTCATCCTGCTGATCAGCTCTCTTCACTGCCATTGAAGGCTCCAACGTGTTTTCTTTTCAGGTGCTGCGTCATAACAGTGGTGCTTCCGTGCCATGTTCATTTGTTTTGACAAAAGTTGCATGTTACGACTTTTTTCACTTTACAAAGCGCAGGCTATTTTAATAATTGTGATCAATTTGCGCCGTCAATCCCGCCGCATGCGCGCGTCATTTGCAGTCTGAACGCTGAGGGTAAATTCCTCACTAAATTCCTGCGGCTCTGCCTGCAGCGCTGAGAGGGATTCCTGTGGGAGAGGGAGAAAGGGGTTGGGATGGGGGGGGCGCCCCACAGCAGGCAAAAGCCGCCAGTGACACCGTAAAAAGTCGCCAGATTTGTCGCAAGTTGCTTTTTTGAAAAATAGTCGCTGGAGGGGTCTGAAAAGTCTCTGAGTTGGCAACACTGCACCTGCGGCGCTGACTCGCTCCGCCATATATTTTTTTTCCTTCCCCGGATGACGGCGGCGGCGGATGACGCATTAATCGCGGGACACAACTAATCGATGATTAAATTCGTTGCCAACGCTTTTAAAAGTCGATTTTTATCGATTTTATCGATTCGTTGTTGCAGCCCTACGATTCAGTATCAATTTCCCGACCCAAATTTTCACACAAATGACTCAAACCCACAAGGGGTGTGTAAGTCATCTTTTTCCTCCGCCATTTGCATACCCAAGCGGAAAAGCTAATAATTAAGGAACTGTAAGGCCAAATGATTTGTGAGACATTATTTGAAAGCTTACACATTCTTGTTTCTAAAAATATGAGAAGTGTGACTTAAACACTGCCTAAACTGCATCCGTTCAAACGTGACTCCTAGTTTTGTTTTTTGTTTTTTTTTTTGTTTTTATATTTCTGGAAAATAGTAGGTCTTTTCTTAATAGCAGTAACAAGGAAAGGCTCGATACTATATAATAACTTTGTCAGACCTATGGGACTTTTAACTTCGTGTTTCCAAATTGTGCTTATTGCTGTTACACAAAATTTTGAGAAAAATTCGCACTGAAGCATTTTGATGACCACTGAACATTTTTGAAGCATTTTGAAGCATGCAATCAATTGTTTTCTGTTTTCTTTTGTTGGCTGGAAAATTATGAACACAAACATACCCAAGATCGAAGGCAGCTGTTTCGGGAAATAAGTCTTATTAGCAAGATGCTAAGCGTTAGCCCTGACAAGCAAACTTTTATTTTTATTACAAATATGCTGGATTAGATTTAATTGTTGAACCCTGATAAACAAGCAGGATATAAACAGTTGAAGATTGGATTTATAAAATGGCCTCAGGATCTCTTTAATACAAAAGCAAAGAGCGGTTGTACTAGACTTATGTTTTTTTTTTTTTTTTACCCCCTGCATCTTCTGGAGATGATTATATAACTATCTTGTTATCACGGCTAAACCATTAATTGTTTTCTCGAAACGATTAACCTGTAAGAGTAATGAATGAGGCTGGCCAACAGCCCTGGATTCCCAGTCAATCAATGCCTGCGGTTCCCGTAGTTGTGCAGCAGCGGTTTTATCAAAACCTTTCTTCTGGACTCATTCATTTCAAACTGTTGTCTATTCCATTTGCACAAAAGCTTGTGAAATTGTCAGTGTTGCTACCTAAATGGTCACAGAATTTTGATTTAATTCATATTCTGCGTTGTTTACGTGTGCTCCTAATTTTTTTTTGAGCAGTGCTTTTACAGTGCTGTCCCACAGGTCTGTGTGCATGTCTGGTCACTACCATGGTAAAGACAAAGAAGCCATTACAAATACAGACAATATTCCTACAGAAATGTTCTTTTGCTATTCCTGAGGCCTTCATCAGAAGTAACTTGGTACTTTAAACCTTTGGAACACAATCCTGTTGTATGCAAGGGGGTCTTTAATGTATATTGCATAGCACTTCTTGTTGGAGATGAGAAGGTAGATCTGTTGGTGTGTAAATGTTATGGATGACAACCATGCCGTGTCGACTCTCTTGGTCCATTAAACCAATAACATTAAGGGACAATTGGAGACATCCACCACAGCACCTTTAGCCATAATAATGTCAAATGATTTAAAAATGATACTCTAATTGGGCTGTTATTGCTTTCAATCAGCTTTACAGCTCTAGAAATGCTTTAAACGCATTTAGTTGCACATACATGTGAAACCTGTCTGACCAGTCAGGAATGTTGAAACCGTAATATTTCAACAGCAGTGTGTGTAACAAGGTTCAGTGTTTCCCATTTGGTAAAACCTGCTAATTAAGGTTCCAGAGCTGCATCTAATGGACCCTGTCTGTTTCACAGCAGTCTTATCATCTTATCTGCTTTGTTTTTCTCCTCCAGTTGGTCCTGTCATCATGTCCATCGAGGAGAAGATGGAGGCAGATGGCAGATCTATTTATGTTGGCAATGTAAGTCTTATTTTCTCACTTGGACTCATGTCCACCATGTATCTCAGTTAAAGTTCAAGATCTCCAAAAGATATACATTTTTCCACTTTGTGTAATTATTTGGGTTGATCTTTATAAGTAGACCAGTAACCATTTTTATTTTTGCTTTCACTTTTTAAATTGAACCCTGAAATTTTTAAGTTCCACTTGATGAGGCACTTCCATGTTTTTACTGTTGAAAATACAGCTGTGAGTTGGCTGATGGTATTAGGATAGTTCCTGTGCTGTGAGCTTCAACTCCCTCCTGCTTTGTTAGTATTTTCTTTTCTTCCTGACACTTGTGAGCACTGCCCTGCTGTGGCAGATACATTGTGACCTATGAAACCCATCAACAGCGATAATGTTTGCAAAACAGATTTAAATATGTTCATTTTAAACACCAAGGTTATCTTATCCAGTTTGAATTAAACGTGATATGTTGTCTCCCAGTGACGTACTCATATGCCTTTTCATATCGTCTTTCATCAGGTGGATTATGGAGCCACGGCGGAGGAGCTGGAAGCTCACTTTCATGGCTGTGGTTCAGTAAACAGAGTCACCATTCTATGTGACAAATACACAGGGCATCCCAAGGGGTAATAATGCACCCACTGTTCTCTTTTGTTGTCCCTTGAGTTTCTAAGGATATATTTGGTAATAGTTTTGATCGATTAGTAATCAAATGTAGCGTTTCCCTAGAGCAAGTTTTTTTTTATTTTTATTCAGCTTCAGTTATCATTAAAGGAGGTTTCAGTTCAGTTTGGTTTGTTTAAAACCAGACCTCTAGCAGAATTCAAAATTGTCTTTCATTTTTGTATTTAGACATTTCTGTATCTTTTTTTTCCTCCCACTTTTAGTTTTGCTTACATTGAGTTTGCAGACAAAGAGTCGGTTCGGACAGCTATGGCCCTGGATGAATCCCTTTTCAGAGGCAGACAGATAAAGGTGAGACTGTTGATCTACAGCCAAGGAGAAATGAGCGGTGGCAATCCAAACGAACTGTAACGTTCACTGAGTCTCCTTAACCATCTGTAGGTGGGAGCCAAGAGAACAAACAGACCAGGCATCAGCACCACAGATCGCGGTTTTCCACGGGGTCGGTTCCGATCACGGGGAGGAGGAAGCTTCGCCTCGCGTGCGCGATATTACACCGGTTACCCACCCAGAACCAGAGGACGGGCCTTCAGGTGAGCAGCTGTGGAGACGTCTTCTGTTTCATTCCCTTCATGCAGACCATGCCATTCACAGTTTGATCTGTACGGTAAATTATAACTGTAGGCTTAAACATGAAGGAAAAAGGCCTTCTGTTTTTGTTGCAGTCTTAGGGCCATCTTAGTTCAGTTCAATCATGCGTAGCTGTCCTCTCTTTGGTCTTTGCTACCATATTTAGAGCAGTTGTTGCTCAGTAAGAACAACTCCTGGTTTAATCTCTTTCATTTGTGTAACAGAAAATGTCTGACCCTCAATGTCAGACTCTAATCAGCCACTCCACCACATTCCATGAAACCCTTGCTCTGCTAGTTTAATCAGTGATTTAAGACACATCGCAGGATAAGGCACTGAGAGGCTTTAGATGGGAGCAATAACACTGATATAAATGGATAACACAGAAAATCCCTGAATTACTCATTTAACTGTTTAGTTTGTTTGGTTAAAGAAAGTCTAATGCTAAATATTCCCCTGTTACTGTTTCTAACAGCGTATTGCCCCTCCTTCATTAATCAGCAGCATAGGCTAATATGTAGTCCTCTCCCCCAGAGAGTAGCGCACAGACTGTTCTTCTTGAACCGGCCTTGATGGGGCCCCATCTGGTAGCTACATCAGGAATTTACCACCAGTTTATTTCAGATTGTGCTGCAATGGAACAGAATGAGCTGAACATCTGGTCCACATGTAACATTTCACCAGTGCTTTGTCTTGTTGTGGTATCTGCATCAAAATCTTTGCATGGAGCTTTTGCAAGCTTGGGAAGATTTTCACTTTTTGGCTGTAATGATGGAGTCACGCTCCAAAAGATAACGTACTTGTCTGACTGGAAATGTTCTCTGTTCTAAACTAATTCCTCCTCTGCTACCATGTAATGGTATTAAAGGATTATGCTGCCAAATAACATTTGTGTAGTTTCTACAATTCGCCAACCCATTGGAAGAAAGACGTGCTACTGCTGCTAACATTATAAACTATATAGATTAAAGTTAATGTTTATAATGCTGCATGGTATTTAAAACTGCAGTCAGCGCATTATTGAAGTGTGAATTAACATGGTAACAGAGATGCTTGAATGCAGGATTAGGTAGGCCAAAAAATTTCAGGTCTACATGAGTAAAATTATTTCTAGCCAGAAGTAATTTGGTATCTAATTTAACCATCTTTTAGAACCAAATCATTACATTTCCTCTGATCTGAATTGAAGTCCGTTCCATTTATAATCCTTAGTAAACAGCCTGTTTTACACAAACAAAACCAGCTGACCTTTGACTTTTATTAAAGATAAATACTAAAGATGGTTCAGCTCTATAGAGAAATTTGATTGAGAGATTTTTACTTTCCAAAGTAAAGTCTTTGACCTTTACATCTTATCTGTCCCTCCATCTAGAATGTGATAATCTGTGGTAGTTATATTCCTGCTAAACAGTTGGAATATTTAAGGCTATGTTCACACAGCAGCCTGAAGTGACCCAAATCCCATTTATTTTTTATTTCTCATAAACAACAATGTGAACGGCAACGCAGAAAAATGGGATTTCACAAAAAATCGGAATCGAGCATCAAGGCCTGCAGTGTGAGTGTAGCCTAAGTTTGTATCCATGACGACCCAAACAACAAATGTTGCTCTTCAGACCATCGTTTGTATGGATGCCATCCAGCAGGTCTGGATTGTAGTAGGAGCTAACACGGAGGTTGGTCTGAAGAAATTATGTAGACACTTTCAGAGCAGTGGTCTGCAGCAACAGGTGGGGGAAGGGGGCCATGCTCCATTCAGTTGAAATGAAGAACATTTTCCTGATGGGAGCATCTAGGGCTGGATGTGATCTCATATCATTATAGTGATTAATCCTCCAAGCACGTGCAGTGAAAAGCCAAGATCTGATGCCTGCCTGAATGTAGAATGGTGTGCATGGGTAGTTTTTCCTTTGTTTGGATTTTCTTGTCCTTTTTTTGCATGAACATGACCCTCCTCTCACACGGCACACACTCTCCATCAGCTCAGTGTCAGCTTCACAGCGCTCACTCCCAGAAACGAGGGTTCATTACTGCAGCCTGACCTCGGCATCTGGCCTATCAACCAGTGGACCGTCGGTCCCAGTGTGACCTGTTGGTGCTGTCTGTGTGACTGAGAGAAAATATGTGAAGCTCTGCGTGGCACCACTGTATGTCGCTCTGTGTTTGAATGTGGGATATAATGCTGCAGCTCTGAGTCATGTGCACAAAGTGTGTGTGTGTGTGTGTGTGTGTGTGGTGCTGTTTGTCCTCATGGTCTTTCCCCACAGTGACCCCAGAGGAGACTCACACACACACACAGAGAGAGAGAGAGAAAGAGGGAGGGTGCCATTGCTGTCCCCTCACACCCCAACACTTGTTTTCACCTTATATCTAAAATAAATTTCCTTTTTTTTTTTTTAAAGCTGCTTCCAGCTGATTTTTATTTTTTTTCCAAACTATAGCCTTTCCTCCGCACTGATTTTTAAAGATAGTCTGTCTACTTTATTCGTTTCGTTTACGTCTAGGCCTGAATTCAAATCTCTTCTCCCCTCACATATATCTATATATTATCACACCAGGAAATTGGTGTCCATCTTAAAGCGAACAGGAAAAAAAATCTCACCCTCTTTTTCTCTCTCTTTTCCAGGGGCCGAGCGCGACCATCATCGTGGTATTCCCCTTACTAAACACCCCCCCCTCCCCAGTACTCCCTTACTATCAGTCCCCCCCTCCCATCTCTGTTCCATTTGAAAACACATGCACACACATGACCACACACTATGAAAGTCCCCCCCCCTTCCCTCCCCTCCAAAAAAGAAGAAACCACAGAGGAGAGGATTAAAAAAAATATAAAAAAGACAAAAAATGGAAAAGAAAAAAGCCTCTCCTGGACAGAGAGAGACTGGCTGGCCGGTGTGAGATTGTGTGAAAGCGTGCGTGTGCAGAGCGTGATGCGGTCACACCTGGTAAGGTAAACCTTGGTTGGCCATTGGTGGGGAGGGACATGCGCTGGCAGTTATTTGTTGGTTTTTGTTTGTTTATGAAGGGGGGGGGGGGGTTAAAGTGTTTTTTAAAAAGAGAGAAAGATGGTATCTCAGGCTGCAGATGTGTCTCCTTTGGTCTGGCTGTGACCTACTGCTTTCACACCATCACCAGTACAGCCCACCCACTCACCTTCCACCACCATCAAAAAAAAAAAAAAAAAGAATGGGAGGTAGGGAGAAAAAATAGGGAGGGAAGTAAGGTTCACTATTCAACTGTTTTTTGTTGTTAGCGCATCAGCTTGTTACTTGTAGTTTGAGTGTTTGTTGATGCAACTCTGTTGTCTGGAGTTTGTCATTACTCCCTAACCCCCCCCTCCCTCCTCACCTCCTTTTGTGTCAGTTTCCTGGCTTTTACACCCCCTCCCCTTTTTTTATATTAGTTTTTTTATTTATGGGTTATTTTCAGCTGTCCTGTGCTTCCTGGACAGCGAGGAACTCCATGATTCTTTTTTTTTTCTTCCCCACTTTATTGATTAGTTTTTTTTCTTTAGTTCCCTCCCCCTCTACACCTTGTCTTCCATCTCTCCTCCCACTCCACCTCATCCTGTCTCCCCCCCTCCTCTCTTTGTATATTAGACCACTTCTTGTCGTTTCAGGTTTCAAGACCAGTGGAGGCTGACAACCCCTCCCCAGGTGGCGCCGGCCCCCCCCACCGTCTCGGCAGCATCTCTGTCTCTCTCCGCTCCTGCTATGCACACTCACCCCATCCTATCAGTGTGGGGCGGCGGGGGAGGGGGGCAGGGCGACCACAGGCCTACCGCTGGAGGCATTTACTACAACAGCAAACGCTGACGACGCTTTTTAACTAACACCTTAAAAAAAAAGAAAATAAAACACACGCATCACACATCGTCCAAGACAAACATACACACCTAACCAAACGCAGCAGTAATGACGGTCAGCCAAGCCAACACATGACTTCTACACCCAGAGCCGAAGCCAATAATAGCTGAGAGGCAGACAGGCAAGTTAAGAGGGGGGGAGAGTGAGATGGGAGAGTAGGTGATTCATTATGGAGGTGTCCTGAGGGCGCCCCCTTTCTCTGAGCAGGCGCAGTGCAGCCACGGCTTGTCTGAGAGAGGCTGCTGAGCTAACAGCATGGATTTCAATTGAAGAGTGGGCTGGAGCTGTTTTTAGGGTGGGGGAAGTTGGGGCTAGGGTTTGTCTGGAGACCTTTTTGATTTCTTTTTTTTATTTTGAAAAAAAAAAAGGGAGGGAGGGGTTTGACAAATGTTTTGCTTTTTTATTTTTAATTTTTAACCCATGAGTCTGTAATTAGGAGGAAAAAAATAAAGACATTGTGTAAAAATGGAACCGCGTCAGCCTTTCTGTTCATCTATTGAAGGGATTAGATGTGTTTTTTTTTTAAAGGTAAATTCCTTTTTTGTCCCACAACTCCACTCTGGGAGCAGTGGGCTGCCATCATGCTTGGCCCAGTGTGGGGTTAAGGGTCTTGCTCAGGGACCCAGAGTGGCAGTCTGTGGGGATCGTAGCGGGTACTTGCAACCTTCCCTTTATTGGCCCTCTACAGATCTTCCATGTGGGATGATGGGTAAAAAACTTTTTATAAGGATCACTATAGGAAAAAAAAAATATCAGAATTGTTTACTCAAAAAGCTTAATTTTGTTTTTTAAGAAATTATCGATCTCTTTATAGAGAATGTTTCTAAATCTAAGGTTAACATCAATTTAAAAACTTAACTAATGTTCAATAAATGAGCCAATGAGACCAGCATAAAAATGTGCTTGAATTTACATCCTTATATGGTTATAAGAATAAAGGGCTTAAATCACAGAAGTCCTAGTTCTGTAAAAAATAAAGACATTGTGTAAAAATGGAACCGCTAGCTGGAATGACTACCTTTTTTTCTTTTGGCTTCTGAACCGCAAACCCTTAAAATATAGTTTGAGTTTGGGAACCATGGAAAGAAAAATGATAGAGGTTAAAAAATTTGATGGAATAGAAAATCCCTTTATTGTCCCAACATTGGGAAATTCAGGTGTTTAAAGCAGCAAAAAGATAAATGGTCACAGAAATGTGGTGCTTTAGAAAAATGTATAAGAATAACAAAATATTGACTGGATGGGTATTTGAAAACAACAGATGTACAAAAGGCATGTTTAAGATAGAAACTGTTAAATCAGTATGAATATAACAACTTATTGAAGTTGTTGGGAGCAATGGCGGTTATAGTTACAGCTGCTGGGAGGAAGGATCTGTGATAACGCTTCCTGGTTCATCATCCCTGCTATTAATGTGATGGAACTAGGTGCTACATGGGTCCCCAATATAAGCTAAAGATTCAAAACCATTTAGAGAAACTTAAGCTAAAGGCTCAGATGTGATATTTGACCAGAGGATAAAAGTCTTAAGCCTGGCTTTGGTTGAAGAAAATTTGTTTCTGAGTTGATGAACTTTCTTTAAAGTAGATGCTGGGATATTAAACCAGCAAAAATTTCCACTTTGGAATCTGTGTAATGACCCACATGAAGCCCAGATGGTCATAACTTGGAGGTAATGTTGGCTTTTAGCTGAGGTAAAAATGCTAAATAAAAACCTCACAGCAGTCAGAAAGGTTGGCCAACAATATAAAAGTATTAAGCTAATCAAACAATCTAAATTGATTAAGATTATACATAAACATGCAGTCTGCTCCTTTAAACTGCTCTTCCCATATTTTGATTTGTAGTAGGTGGCATTGTTAACCAGTGCATATGTTTCTGGAAGTAAACCCTACAAACACCGAGCTGAAATCATTTCCCCAAACAGACAGTTCCCTAGCATTTGTGTAGGATGTACAACTTTAGTCTGATGAAGCAGTAATGGTGTTGCAGTGTTGGTATGCACCCCCAAACCGAGTGATGTGTGCCAAATAGCTGCTGCTGGCAGTGTGTTAAGTGGAGCGAGCAGCAGTGGCCGCCATTAATCCCCCACCAACATCTGGCTGGGTGTCCAGCAGCTGTTCAGAGCGCTGAACGCGGCTACAACCGAGAGGGGTTTTAATCGGACAGGCTTTAGTACACACATCCCATAGAAATGGTAATAACTTGTAGGATAAAGTATATTTAATGCTGTAGTATTTGCCCCATTTATGATGAATGCAGGAAACATGGGTGCCCTCTGGTGGTGATTGCTGAAATTGATTAAATGGGAGGGAAACAAAACCAATCAAAACAATGTGGAGTTTATTCAACATTAGTTACATATTAGAAGTTTAACGTTGGAAAACAGTCTAACAGTTGGTGTATTAAGCTTTTAAATCCCTGAACAGCAAAGTTGGGCTCATCTGTGCTTCTTGAAGGCTGTAGAAAGAAGAAAAAACGATGAGCCATCTTAGCTTAAAGGTAAAACCAAAGCTTAAGTTTAGAATAAACTTACCTCTCCTTTTGGTTTTCTTTTTCATGATTTTCTTCTTTTTCTTTGCTCTAATGGTTTCCCCATCCTGGACAATAAGAATAAACCAAAATTAGCAATGAAATAACAGCAACCGGTGGAGAGTTTTACTGTGAGAACACACCTGTCCACCTTCACCGCCCGTCAGAGCTGTGATGTCGCTGAAGTGCGTGATGCCGCTGAGCTGGCCGGACATGGCCATGGTGCTCCTCTTCCTCGCCTTCCTCTCGTGCTTCGGCACGTTCAGACGCACCATCATCGACTCCTCGTAGTTCTTCCTGTGGAGCTCCTCTCGGCCCTCCCTCTCCGACTGGACGTCTCGCCTGTCCCGGATCTCCTCCGGAGCGTCGCTGTACTGCTGCCTCAGCTCCTGGATCACGGAGCTCCGGAGAGCCACCCGTCGCTGCCGCTCCATCTGAGCCTTCTTCCTGTCTGCCTCTGTCATGTCGCCATCTTGAAAGGTAAAAACCGCCTTTATTAACATCTGAGAAATTAGCTCAACTGAGAAGTTTAGCTCTACCATCGGAGTGGAGTGAGGTTACCGTAATGCACTGGTGCGATCTTTGGAGGTATATATTTCCTGCCACTAGAGTGAGCTGCTTTCTTGTCAGAAGCTCCCTTGTTTGCTTCATCTTCAGAGTCCGATTCGCTCAGCTGGACAATAAGACACAGAAGCATCTTTAATTTATTCTATAGCCAAACTAAAACATTAATAATCCAACAGATAACCGAAAGGATAATCAATACCTCCATAAATTAAGCAAAGTTATGAGAAAAGAGAGAAAAACTGACCTTGCTGACGAGATTTTCCGGATTTGGACGCAGATGCAGCGGGTCATTTTCAGCTAAAAGAAAAAGAACAAATGTATTCAGATCATCCTGCTACTGATAGGCTACTAGAGGTGATCTTTAATGGAAGGAAAACTCCAAACTCGTTTCACCTAAGCTTCCAGTAACAGCTGTGCGCACCAGTTTGTCAATCTGGTACTTCAGTTTGTGGTCCAGAGGTCGCATTTTCTCCAGAACCTTCAGAGAAGGAAAAACTCTCATTAAAAAGGAAAAACTAAATCCATCTTAGACAGGAACTGTCCTCCCTCTGAAAGGCACTCTTACAGTTCTGATTGTGACCACTCTGCTCAAAGCCGCGCTGTCCTTTATCTTCCCTCCTTCCGTCTTGATGCTGATCAGATGAGTGAGGTCCTGAAGGTAGAAGAGCAGGAGGTTGTAGCGAAGGTCCAAGAAGGACAAACCCTGCAAGGGACAATAAATATATATACAAACTAAAGTATCTGGTCAAGTGTTCATACTTTTTTTTTAGCTTCTTCATATTCTAACACTATAAAACCACAACCATCAATGCATTTCACAACATAATGATGTCACAGCCCTAAACGAAGCTGTGCTCAAGTATTAAGTGGAAGCCAAATGATGTAGTTTGCTTTTTACAAATAAAATCCTCCAAACAGAGCATTGTGAGCATGGTGGTGGTGGCATCATGGTGTGGAAATGTTTTTGTTAAGCAGGGGAAGGATGATGGAAGGAGCTAAACCTGAAAATAATAAAAAACACTTCAAATTTTCTTCTACCTTCCAGCAAAACTATGACGGTAAACAAACAGCTGGAGCTACAGTCGTTCAGATCAAAGCATTTCAATTGGTTTCAGTCAAACTTAGAACTGTAAGTACGGCAGTTCTGAGGAGATAAATGGATTTAGGTCTGGACTTATTCCAACACATCAACCCGCTTTGATCTGAAGCATTAAAAGTGTTGCTCATTCTGGATGTTTCCACCTCAGCCTCATGCCTTCCTTCTGAAACAGAATTTTGCAAAATTTTTGGAAAGAACCACCCTCTCCTCTTTAAAAAACAAAATGCACATGCACGACCCTGTACCCGTGCACGAGCCCATTTCTCCTCGTGCACGCTCTGTTTGAAAGTAGCTGTTTGCATCGCTCATACAAGCTTACGTTCCAAAAGAAGGTTTGCACGTCTTCCACTATGTCAGACTGGGGATGAGCAAGTAGGACGACCTTACGTAAACATATCACCAGAATGATTGACAATTAGGAGGACCAATTATTTTGATGATCAATCCCCCCAAAAAAACATCCTCTGCTATACCTTTAAAGGAGAATTCCGGTTTTTAACACTTTTAGCCCATTTTCTGTAGTGTCCAGGATGAAATCGAATGATCGACACCAAAAGTTTGACAGTTGGTCCTGTCTCTGCTTTTTGGCTCATTTAGAATCCACCCCTGGCTGCTTCAGAATGGCTTCCATAGTGCATGTCCGATAATGTCCTTAAAACAACCTTAAACGTTCTTTTTTTAAAATATGCTACTCACCGGGTCGTCAGCGCTGTTCAATGACGTTCCAAAAAAAGTTTCATAAAGAAAAAACGTTCCTGTAGTGTTTTATTTAGCATTTTGTAAATCCCATTGAGTTCTGTAGGAATAGTCAATATTCCCCTGCCACCGGAAACGGAAATGGGGCCTGTTTACACAGTTGTAGTCTTTTCGCTTCACTCTGTGTACTCCGACGTCGAGGTGCTAACGTCTCTGTTAAACACTTAAAAAAACTCTGAAAATGGAATACGAAAGGTGGATTCTTGATTCTCGTCGTCGGAGTACACAGAGTGAAGCGAAAAGACTACAACTGTGTAAACAGGCCCCATTTCCGTTTCCGGTGGCAGCGGAATATTGACTATTCCAACAGAACTCAATGGGATTTACAAAATGCTAAATAAAACACTACAGGAACGTTTTTTCTTCACGAAACTTTTTTTGGAACGTCATTGAACAGCGCTGACGACCCGGTGAGTAGCATATATAAAAAAAAAAAGAGCGTTTAAGGTTGTTTTAAGGACATTATCGAACATGCACTATGGAAGCCATTCTAAAGCAGCCAGGGGTGGATTCTGCATGAGCCAAAAAGCAGACACAGGACCAACTGTCAAAATTTTGGTGTCGATCATTCGATTTCATCCTGGACACTACAGAAAATGGGCTAAAAGTGTTAAAAACCGGAATTCTCCTTTAAGGTCCACTAGACTAACCGACCTGAAGGAGGGCATTCCCACAGCATGATGCCACTCCACCATGTTCCAATTAAATAGTTTTATTGCTTACCTTTGAAGTCTTGAACACTCCATCCTTAACTTTGGTCAACAGCTCATGGACATGACTGGTTACTGATGCCACCTAAAAGGAGAACAATCGTTTATAGAGGGAGAAAAACCAATAGGAACACGAACAGAGCAAAGGTCAGCAGCTCTGTTATTTTCAATGTGAATAAGTCGCTTATATTCGCTCATACTGCTGTTTTATAGCCTGATAAGACATCCAGTTACAGTTTAAGGAAAATATTAACCTTCTCCCTATGGCGTCGTAAACAAAGATACATTATTATTATGCTGATGATTCATTGCAGATCTTCCAAAAAGAGGATTTTCATGAGATGTTTTTGTAATATAAATAAACCCCTACCTGCTCCGTGAGGTTATTTAACAGCTGCACAGCTCTGGGTACATCGCTTTCGATTAGATCCTGTAAAAATAAGAAAACCAATCCTGTTAGCAGACATGTAGCAGGAGGCGATCATGTTTTATCTGTAAGCGAAGCAGATTCGCTTTAGAAAATTAATCCCCGACGTTAAGAGGAATATAAGAGATTAGTTCAAGGAGTTAACAGGGAGGTAATTAAAAGCTTTAGAAGTAGAACAATAAAGTTGTAATAGTGGTTTAACGCGGCGGTTAGACTCACGTTGACAACAGGAGCAGCCATTTTAACTTCCACTGCTGTACGGAAGCCGCGGAGGGACAAAAATCTGAAGTTCCTTCGCGCTTTCTGTAATGTTGGAAGCTTAAATGATTCAAAAACGTTGAAAAACTTAATCAAAATGTACGGAAGAGGATTAGCACCAATGGAGAAAAAATAAATAAAAAGTTAACTGATTTTAAAATTTTATTTCAGTATAATATGAGAAAAAGGTGAGAATTCTAACTTTAATTTCAGAATTCTAACTTTAATTTCAGAATTTTTACTTTTTTCTCAGAATTCTGAATTTAATCTCAGAATGTTGGATCTTAATGTAGATGGGCACCATGAAGGAAGAGATGTGGGAGCGCTCAGCTTCACTGACAAAGATGTGGGTTGTTTGGGTGGGCCAGGAATACGTTGGTGGAAAATGATGGAATTAAGGCAACTTTTTACTTGCCCGAGTTGTCCCCGGTGATGTTAATTAAAGTTCAGATTAAAATCAGAATTCTTAGAAAAAAGTCCGAATTCCAAGGTGAAAGTCATAATTCTGAGAAAAAAAAGTCAGAATTCTGAGAAATAAATTCAGAATTATGACTTTTTTTCCCATATTAAACTGAAATAATATTTAAAAATCTGTTAACTTTTTAATTTTTTCAGTGGCCCTAATTCTCTTCCGTAAAAATGTCTTCCGAAAGGCTTTTTTTTTTTTTTTTTTTTTTTTACTCGTCTTTAATCTTTAATCTAATTTTGAGCTGTTATGTGCTGTTACTTCCTAACCTCCTACTTCTATTAACCCCACTAAGTGACATCTGGGCAGCTTTCTGAAGAATGATGATCCACCTTCATTTTCTTTCTGGGTCCGAATACAAGACAGTTTTTTGTGCAACAGTATCTGTAGGCCCTACTTGTGCTGTGATGAATTATCTGTGTAATAATTTACCTATAGACTTTAAATAAACATGCTTGCATATGCTTTAATTTATTCTGCACTAGAGCAAGTTGGTGCACCAATGCTAAGAAATGTTCAGTTTGCTTTTCTCCATCTTGGCCAGCAGCAGCTTAATTCGATCATTGCATTCATCAGTGAGTCTCTATGTGAAGCAACACTATATGGTTTAGAGAGGGGAAATATTTACTGGTTCATCACACACACCAAACTTATAACGAAACTTGTTATCCAGGTCTCGGTGAATACAATAAAGGTTTAAAGACAAAACAACTGTATTTCAGTTCTTGTTTTTTAACCCTTTTTGCACTTTTATTTTTATTATAAAAAGGTAGGTCCTTTATTTCCAATTCAGTAAATTAAAATATGCAGAGGCTCAATTATTTGTTTTAAAGTAGCTGTGGAAAAACTTTTTTTACGGAAACATATGTGTAGCATGTACTTAATATAGTTTCAAAATTGTTTTATAAGTCTGATGTATGATTATACTCTTAAACATCATGTTTTAATTATCCCCAAAAGCAGGAAACACAATTTACAGAAGTTACAGCTTGAAAAATTCAGTTTTACTTCAGTCAGTATGGTCACTTATCCCCCCGTAGCGGTACCTGTCCACTCGTAGATGTCATATTAAAACCACATCTCTGATAAGACTGCACTCTCTCTCCAAATAAACTCTTTCTATTCAAATAAAACTCTTTTTTTCTTCTTTTTTTTTTTGGGGGGGGGGGGGGGGGGGGGGGGGGGGGGGGGGGTTAGATTTGGTATTTTCTGGTCTAAAGTCATCAACTACTTGCACTTTAACATTAGTAAACGTGCCTTTTAAAGGAATCTCCTATTTTTCAGATATTGTGCTGTAGTTCTGGTTGCACTTCTAACTTTAACTCAATAATAAATTAGGTTATTTTAAACATAAAGTCCAAAATTATTAATATGTTGAAATGCTTTTTTATATATGGATATAAAATAGAGCTATACTCAGACTAAACTATTGTTAAATAGAACTTTCTGACATAAACAAGTTCATTTTGGCAGTCAGACATCCTGCGCTGACTTCATATCTCCATTGTCATTTAATAGAGGGCGATCAGATAAAGACATCCTGGATGTTTCCTCACAGCTCAGGCCTCTGGGATTCCTCCTGAACTTGATAACCACCTGTCCCCTCAGAGATGTTAATGAGACATAAATGCTAATTGTAGGGCCCCTGGTTGCGATAAGAGGGTAAGTGATGGCTCAATGTTACAGTTTTTTTGTTTTTTTTTCGGATTTCAGAGGAACCCATGAATGGAAGTTGAATCGTCTTCCTAAAAAGGATGAAATGTGCAACAGTTAGTGTCTGAGAGAGAGAGGAAGTGCTGATGTGATCATCAGAGGGGTACCTGCCTTTCAGTGTCCTGTCTTAAAGTCATTACCACTCACACAGCCCGAGGAGAGATACGGAGTTAGAGGAGAGCCATGGTAAGTCACAACCAAGCTTTAAATTAATCGAAATTGGCCTTAATGTTAGAAATTGGAATAAAAAAAAATGGTGCATTCAGTAAATCCACCAACAGAGTTTCTGTTTTAATGTGAGCTAAATACGGAATATACTCTCAGCTTTCTGTCGTAGGCCTGTTTGGTAAAATTAACTACTTCATCATTACTGTCTTGTGGGCATGAAAGTCCAAATAATGGCAATAATTAGTTTTATATATTAAATATATCAAGTATGTGGATAATTTTGACTTTTTGCATCAAACCAAACAATCTAAAACATGTACTGTAATGAGATTTCATGAGTAGCTAGTTTAAGAATGCCCCCAGAAAGGCTTTCAGCAACCACTTACCATTCTTATTGATTATTTTATCACATATATCTATTTAAAGTATAGCATAAAATGTAAAAAAAAAAGTAATAATTCACACTATTTTTTATGCAGAATAAACATATTTATGTGGGTTATATCTGATTTTAATGTTCCCAGTTTAATCGGTTACTTTTTCTGTATAAAGTTTGCATATATTAATTAATAAGCAACAATTTGTTGTAATTTATAACGATCCTACTATTAAAAAAAAGCTGTCTTATGAGGACGCACTGTATATACTGTATATATCACATGCACCTTTTTCTTCCTTTGGTGCATTCTTCTTTTCAACTTAAGCCGATGCAACGAGTAAATTTCTCCACTGTGAGATCAATAAAATTAATCAATCAATTTATTTTCTATAGGTTGTTAACAAGTTGTTGCATGAATTATTTAGATAATATTTAAGCTCTACTGTTTCAGTTAAAGTAACATGATGATAAAAGCATGGATTTAATCTAATTCTGCCATCAACGTTCCGTACAGATGTCAGATTCCAGAGTGTCCTCTGTCATCCAGGAATGGGTGAGCTCGTATCCCGCTCAGCCTCACAGCCAAACCCTGAATCCTGTCTCCAACCAAGCTGCAGCCTCCAACCAGATATCTCAGATGGACATGATCTCATACAACCAGTCCCAGGGGATCATAAGGGGGGGTGCTGATGACAGAGTGGTTGAACAGATGATGGGGCTGCCCTACCTGTCCTACAACACATCCTGTTTCAGCCACGGTTCTAACTCAGGGAATTCGAACCACCATCAGAGCCATGCAGGCACTCAGCAGGTGAGTCTAGTGTTGCATTGAAGGAGTAAAAAAAACAAACAAAAAAAAACTCTCTGTTTAAATGTTTCTGTGCTTCTCCATACAGGATTTCTCCCCCTTCCTGCTGCCCACCCTCAGGGCCCCTGTGACCAAGAGAAGCATCAGCAAGGATAGCGCAGAGTACCGCCTGAGGCGTGAGAGGAACAACATCGCAGTGAGGAAGAGCAGGGACAAAGCCCGTAGGAGGATCATGCTGACCCAGCAGAGGGCCCTGCAGCTACAGGAGGAGAACCAGAAGCTGCAGATGAAGATAGGACAGCTCACCCAGGAGCTGGACACTCTGAAACACATCCTGTCGCAGCGGCACCTGCAGGGAGCCGAGGAGGGAGCAGCACAGGAGGCCGGCATCTGAACACGCATCACAGCTACTGCTAGCATAGACATGAATGTCAAACGACTCAAGAGTCTCATTTACACTAACATTTGCGAATTTTGGGAAGTGGAAAGATTGACTATAGCATAGGTTTAAGATGTGTGCTTCTTGAAGTTGCATAACGCTTAAAAAAAGCAGAACTTACTCAGAGTCTCCTGTCAACCGCACAGAGGTTCTGTTCGCCACCCTTCAGCTTTAGTGCATCTTAAACATTTCAGTTGCTTTGGGTTTTAAATGCTTAATGTTTTAACCTAATGACTGATTATGAAAAGGATAAATTCTTTCAATCTCATGCTGTAATATTTCACACCACAATAAAAGCCAAATGATTTAATCAGGTTGTGTTAACCTCAACACGGGAAAGGTTTTTAAAAATACACTTTAGTTCTATGTTTTAACTTTTATAAGCAGAATCCAGAAATTACAAAAAGTTATAAATTCACTTTATAATTTTGATTGCTTACATTAGTAAAAAGCTTTAGTTGGTCAACTGTATCAGCTTTCTTGCACTAGTTAAGGAATTTAAATGGAACCTTGGTTTTATTTAAACAAATAATCAAACAAAATATCTAAATTTCAAGCACATAGCTCTGGAATTCCACTTCAATTACCTTTTTTATTTTAAAAGACGATTTTATTCATGTTTTTTTTCATCAGCTTAGTTTTTGCTAAGGGTAAAACATTATGAGCTATAAAAAATTTACAGTTTACAAGCTTTAGCTTAGCTATTGCTGCTGATTAATAAGATTTGTTTACTTTAGCTCACGTAAGTAAATGATCCTGTCCTCTTAACAGTTTTTAATTAAAATGAAAGTAAACCAATTAAGTTTATCATAAATAATCTCATGTTTGATTTTATCCATTAAAAGAAAACTATTTGTAAATTTGCTTTCTAGACAACTGTTAGCTAAGGATGCGGTGTGCAGCTAAATACAGAGATATAACATTTTACATTTTTGAAAATTATATTTAAGAGGTAAATTATTAAGTTTGGATGTCCTGATTCCCTGTATTAAAAAAACAAAAAAACAAA